TGTGTGTGTGTGTGTGTGTGTGATGTGTGCATGTCTGTGAAAACCAGAAGACAAGCTCAGGTGTCATCCTCAGAACACTGTCGACCTCCCTTGGAACTGGAGTTTCATTGCCCTGAAGCTCACCATTTAGGTCAGACTGGCTGGCTAATGAGCCCCAGGGAGCTTCCTGTCTCCATCTCTCCAGCACTGGGATTTCAAGTGTGCCAGCACCGTGACTGTGATGGCTAATTTTAGTTGTCAATTTGACTACATATAGAAAAAAATCCCAAGCTGCTGGGCATACCTGTGAGGAACAGTTTTCCTTCCTTCCTCTTTCTTCTTTATTATTTCTTTTCTTCCTTTTCTTTCTTTTTCCTCCTCTCTCTCTCTCTCTCTCTCTCTCTCTCTTACTTTCTTCCTTTTTTGTGACTTCCACTCTTTTTAAGATTTATTCATCTATGTATTTTATGTACATGAGCACTCTGTCTTCACATACATCAAAAGAGGGCATCAGATTCCATTACAGATGGTTGTGAGCCACCATGTGGGTGCTGGGAATTGAACTCAGGATCTCTGGAAGAGCAGCTAGGCTCTTACTCACTGAGTCAGCTCTCCAACCTGAGGGGTTTCTTAATCAGATTATTTGAAGCAGAAGACCCACCCTAAAGCAGGGCCACATCTTCTTGTGGCAGCCCAAATACAAGGGCATGGAAGAAAGAAATTTAGCTGTTTGAATGCTGCCCTCACTTTCTCTGGCAACTTCATCTATCCTGTTTCTGTAGCCAATATAAAAATGCTTTTTCAGGTTCTCAACACAGACTGAAGACCTGTAGCTCTCCGGGACTCCTCCAAGACTCTGGTGGCCAAGTGAGGAAGCTGAGACATCCTGCTTTGTGGACCAAACAACTGTGGAATTCTAAGCCTTTCATGGTCAGTCACTGCTAGACTTCCCGGACCACATCCTGTGAAACACTCTAATAAATCCCCTTTTATATATTTATATAAAATTTATATATAATTTATGCCCTGGCAATGCTGAAGTATGCATGGACAGCCCATATATGGCGGTTCTGTTGAACTTGTTTCATTGTCTAAGTTGAAGAGGTTAACTGACCAGGTCTCAACCTCAAGAGGGCACCAGATCTCATTACAGATGGTTGGGAACCACCATGTGGTTGCTAGGAATTGAACTCAGGACTTTCAGAGGAGCAAGCAGTGCTCTTAACTGCTGAGTCATCTCTCCAGCAGAGAAACCTAACTAACACACTGATTTTTCTTTTATATATATATAATTTTGGTTGTGAGCCTAGCCTTTAATGGCGGCACCATCTCTCCAGCCCATACACTGATTTTTTTTTAATGAGAGTTCTTGGAGATTGAACGCAGCTTCTCATGAACGCAAAGCCAATGCTTTTCCTAAGTGAGACATCTCCATAGCCCTAATTATTATTACGAATGTTTTGATGCAGGTGCCATGCTCTACACCTGTAATCCTAGTCCTGAGGAGGCAGAGGTTGGCGGTCCAAGAATTCAGGGCCATCTTGGATGTGGTGAGACTTTGTCACACACAGAAGTCTTGGTAGGGACTGGGGATATAATAGTTGGTAGGATGCTTGCCTTGTATGCATGATGTCACAAGCTGAATGCCCAGCAACACACACACACACACACACACACACACACACACACACACACACACACGGGGGCAGGGAGAGAGAGAGAGAGAGAGGAAGAAGAAGAAGAAGAAGAGGAGGAGGAGGAGGAGGAGGAGGAGGAGGAGGAGGAGGAGGAGAAAGTTTCAGTAAAAGTAGTACTTTGAGCCCACAGTTGTAAAGGCATCTATATAAATGATGTGAGAAAAAACAAGCAGGAAAGGCTCTTCCCATGACCCTTTCCATCATGTATGCTGGTTCCTTGGTGTAGGCCTGTCTAAGCCATCATCCTCACTTGTCTCCTGACCTGCATGCAGTTCCTCTTTGCTGGTGTTGGAACTTGTGCCTACCTCATGTCTGCCCAGTCTCTCTTGGAACGATGTCAGTTCACTATAAAGTATTAAAGGCTGTGAGTGGTAACGTCTGGAAACCCTGAGTTTCAACTCTTCCTAGGTTTCTGCTGAGCAACCCACAAAGCCTGAGGCATTGTCTGGACAGGCAGGTGCTGTTCAGCAGAACTTGGGGTGGTGATGGACATAGTCTACAGCTACATCATCCATAGCACTAGCCACTGGCCACGGTTGAGTACCTGGAATGTGGCCAGAGCTGCTAACTGGATTCTTTTTCTTTTTAATTAGCATACAAAGTAATGGGTTTTATTATGGCATTTCTATGCACAGATGTCATCATTCTCTGTTCTCATTTCATTCTCTCATTCCCCCGTTCCACCCCCACACTCTGACTCCCCAGTTGATTCCCTTCTTTCCCCAAGTTCCCCCTCCTTCTCTGCTTTCTTCTTTGTCGTCTTTTTTTTCTTTGTCGTCTTTCTTATCTTCTCCTCCTCTGCCCCCATTTTTGTTTTTGAGACAGGGCCCCACTATGCACCCCCGACTGGCCTAGAACTTGCTATATAAACCAGAGTGGTCCCAAACTCACTGAGACCCACATGCCTCTGTCCGCTGAGTTCCTGAACCAAAGGTGCCACCACCTCCCGGCTGTGATCCTGCTTCTTAAATCCCTGTATAAACTGTTTAGGTTCCAGTGGTTGAAATGTGTATAAGGAATCTTGTATCCTATATGTGACTTCCACAGGAAAATAGGGTTATGAAATAATTTTAAAAATTGATACAGAAATTATTTTAAAACAAAACAACAGGCTGGGCAGTGGTGGCGCACGCCTTGAATCCTAGCACTCAAGAGGCAGAGGCAGGTGGATCTCTGTGAGTTCAAGTCCGGCCTGGTCTACAAGAGAGTTCCAGGACAGCCTCCAAAGCTACAGAGAAACTCTGTTTTGAAAAAACAAAAACAAAAACAAACAAAAAAAAAAAAACCAAAACCAAACCAAACAAACAATAAACACCTGAAGTCTAATTTCATAGACTCCACTTGAAATTCTCAGCTTTGAACATGAAATTGGGAGAAACAGGCAATGAAAATAATCCATTTAGCAAGAAGCAGTGATTCGTCAACCCAGCAATACCGACACAATACAAGGAGTGCCCGCGATCCACTCCGTTCAGGTCGGGGCTCTCACACAGTGCTCTGCAGGCTTCAGCACATCTGTCAGCAAGCCAAGTGCTCTTATGCGGCTTCTTGGTGGAGAAGTAATTAATTTCTGCTGTTTGTTTGTCTGCATAGAGACTGTGCTATGCCTGCGCGAAATTGCTCTTCAGACACTCCTAAGTGTGTGATCAGTAACCTCTTGGAACTGCTCTCTCTGTGAAGGAGGCTCCTCCCACGAGCAGACTCAAGAAGGAAGCCTGCTGTTTCAGTTCCTGAGTACCCTAAAGACTTGCAAAGACTGGGAGGGGCACAAAGCACGCTAGAGCACCTACCACGCTGCCTCTTACTTAATTTTTCCCGGGAGATGGGGGGCTCCACTCTGCTACTGAGACACTCACTCTGGTCCTGAACTGCCAGGTGGGTAAGTGCTGATTTTGAAACCCCACCTGAACATGCATCCGGTCTGATGTCGCCCGGGATCTTTGCAGTAAAGCTATTTTCTTTGTGCATGGCATGGCCACCATGAAGCCAAGTGGCTGTGGCCACCTACACAAGCTCTTGGTTGGAAGTCACGGTGATGAAATCAATAAACAAGCAGGGAGAGCCAGGTCTACGGCAGTGGTAATGGGAGTGGTTAATATTCCTTCAGAGAAGAAATGGGGGGAAGGGTCGGGAGACCCTCGCTTGAGATTCCAGGCACCTTTGTGTCCTGGTTTCCTGGGTTCTCAGGTGCTAGAGCAAAGGAAGTGGCAGGTTTACCGGGAAGCTGGGACTCCAGCCATGCAACAGCTTTGGAACCATCCTAGTCCTGCAGGCAACATCAGGAAGCTCCTAGCTCATCAGACTGAGCTTGGATGGATCATTCATTTGGTCTGTTGGTATGCTACATCAGACAAATGGACGTTTCTCTCCTTTCCCCCAGGAAAGCTAACATAACAGGTGTAAGCAGGCTTGCTGGTTTTCCTCTTGTATTTTTGTCATGGTATGGATTAAACAGCGACAATTTTAGAAACACATTTTAAAGTGAAATTGTTATGTGACACTATCTGATGTTTTCAGATGGAAAATGTTTGTTATCTTTTCCAGTTAAGCTGAATATATCAGTCAGGTGACGGCAGCAGCACACACCCTTAATCCGAGCACTTGGGAAGCAGAAGCAGGTAGATCTCTGAGTTTGAGGCCAACCTGGTCTACAGAGTGAGTTCTGGTACAGCCAGGGCTACACAGAGAAACCCTGTCTTTAAAAACCAAAATAACAACGACAAACCCCTGGATATACCATTATTAACCACCCGCTTTAATGTAGAGGCAACCTGTCTGCACAGGAGAAAAAAATCTGAAGGCATGTTCATTTGTCGAAACACATGGGGTACGGTACAGGTTTTATTTTACAGGGTGCGCCCTGGTGAAGATTACTGACGCACAATGTCCTTGATTTGGGCCTCTATATTATTTTCCATTTAAGTTTAAAACATTTTTACATCATTTGTGAGATGAATTATGGGCAGCAAGGTGGCTCAGTGGAAGCTTGCAGCCAAGCCTGTCAGCCTGAGTTCAGCCCTCAGAAGCCACACGGTGGAGGAGAGGACCAATTCCAGAAAGCTGTCTCTGACCAACGTATATGCACTGTGGCATGCAAGCATGTACTCAGATATAAGAGAAATAAAAAGTTTAGAACTTTTTTATTTTTAAATTCCACCTAATTTAGATTCCACACCATTTCCTTTCTGACCATTGGAATATTGCAGTGTCGAGTAACAAAAGATAAAAATAAAAACATCGCAGATTAAATCTACCGTTACGTACAGCGTGAACACATTTAATTACCGAGGTAAGTCCTGACGCCCGGAACTCATTCAGAAGCAGTCACTGAGAGACTTCTGGGATCTCCCTGTTATCCACAACGAGTGTGTGGATGATCCCTTCTCTTCTCTTCCCGCTGCTCACGGCTTTTATGTAACAATCGTGGTTCCCAATTCTGAAGTGTGTTTCAGTCCCATCGTCTACAAACTCGCCCTAGGACAGCAAGGGAGGAAGCATCAGTGTCCAGAAATCGCTTTGTTGGAGCAGTAACGACGTCTAAAATCGCCAGTGGTAGAACGAATAATGTGTTGGTAAAACTTAAGCATCGCAGACTTAGAGCTTACAGCTTATGCTTACAAAACTTTATGATTCCGTTATAAATCAAGAGTTTAGTTCTTTATTCTTATTCACTAATTGTTTTGGCTTTTGAAACAAGTTCTTACTCTGTAGTCACGTTTAGGTTAAGCCAGAACTCACTGGCCTTAATCTCCTGGTCCTTTTGCCTCCACTTAATTCTATCATGATGGTGACCTTGATAGAAGTACTCTTGTGCCCATTTGACAGATGAGAAAACAGAGGTAGATGGCTTGAAAGTGCACTCTGCAAGGAGACTACTCTCAACCAGTTCAAAATCCTGCTTCCTTTGGGGTATTAGGTGGTTTTTTTTAAAAAAAAAAATAAATAAACACTTAGTAATGAAAACCGGACACCATTATCAAGCACCTGAAATATGTCTACTTAGCAATGAGATCCACACCGTAAGTTTAAAATACCTGATCTGAAGCCCAGTGGGAACCTATACATGTACATAGCTCACTAATAATTTGTTTTGTTGATTACATGTTAGATTATAATTTCTTTTGTTTTTTGAACTGGAATCTTATTCTGTAGCCCAGGCTGACTTCTAATTTAATTATGCAGTCCACGCCATCCTTGAACTCATGGTAACTGTCCTGCCTCAGTGCTCCTGTGCTCCCACAGCCAAATGCTGGGTTTGCAGATAGGAGTCTCCATCCTTATCTTAATAGTCTTGATACTTTGATTTAAATTAAACATTAAAATTAATTAATTTTTTTAGCATGCCCGCTGAAATGTTAAAAAATCACACACGAGACTTAATAATGGTTCGCATTCTATCTCTGCTCAACGGCACCAACAGGGAGATAGAAACAGTGGAGAGAGGGGAAGAAGAGCCTTAGAGTCGTAGTTCTCAACCTGTGGGTCGTGACCCCATGAGGGGAGGGAGGGTGTTGCCTAAGACCATTGGAAAACACAGAGATTTACATTATGATTATGATAGCAGTAGCAAAGTTATGGTTAGGGAGTAGCAACAAAAAATAATTTTATAGTTAGGGGTCAGCACAACTTGAGGAACTACATTAAAGGGCTGAAGCATCAGGAAGGTTGAGGAGGCCTTAGAGGACAGATCAAGGAAACCATGATCAAAGCCTTCACACTAGGGAGTTCACTTAATATGCTTAACACACTGGGTCTGGTCCCAGCACTGGAAACTCAGACAAACAAAATACACACGCACCCTCTTCCACCCCGTCCACACCGGGTGCCTTGACTGTGAGCATCCTGGAGACCAAGCAGATAGAGAGCTAGAAGGGAAGGGAGACGCACTGAATACTGACCCAGGCACACCTTTGGGTGCAGAGATCCTCACCCCGTTAATAAGATGCTTGGGAAAAGCCTTTGAAGGACAGGACAAGGGTTAACCACACAATCCCAGTAAGCTGCTTCTTGACAAGCATCATGTGGGTGATACTATTTAGGGGAAAAATGAAAAGGAGAAAGAAACCTTCAGGGAGGGAGCCCGAGCACTCCTTGCAGGTATGTACAGCCAGGGGCGGGGTGGAGGCAGGCTGCTGGGCTAGTTCACTGTCCACTCGGCTCTGCAGCTGAGTTACAGTTACAAGAAGGGGACAACCGGATTACAAAGGACTGTTTTTCACACTGGTTTCCTGTCCGTTACTAAGGAACGGAGACATAGCGAGTGAATGTGATTTTTACCTTACTTCAAACCACTTTTCCCTCAGGGGTAGGCGTGGAACCCTGAAGCTTCCACGGGGAGTGTTCTACATCACTCAATGTCAAGTACTCGACAACATTCTCAGTCCTTAAAAACATGTCACTAATGCCATAGAACAGCCTTTTCAGTTGTACTCGAGAACTTCTTGAGAGTGGAGGAAATGTGATTGCAACGTGCTGAGTATCTAGAGACTTCCAGGGGAGGCGTGGTTAGCCCACAGCATGTACCTGACCACACACATGGTAATGACTGCTCTTCTACAGGGACCATATGGGCCTGGAGAACTCCCTGGACCTCTGCATGAACAAGACTACTCTCAGCAGGTTTATCCGAGGATGGCCTTACATTTTGGAGCTAAAGCCCAAGAGACCAGGTTACATCTGCCAGGCTTAACAAATGAAAATACGCCACTGGGCGATGGTAGCTCCTGCCTTTAATCCCAGGAGAGGCAGGTGAATCTCTGTGAGTTCAAGCCCAGCCTAGTTTACAGAGCAAGTTCCAGGACAGGCTCCAAAGCTACACAGAGAAACCCTGTCTTGAACTGCCCCCCCCCCCTCGACAAAAACAAAAACAAACAAACAAAAGAATGAAAACACCTTTGCTACTGCTGATTTCTACCTCCTCAGACCAACGGTTATGAGATCGAATAGATTTGAGGTGGTCAACTGAGTAGTTGCCCCCTAAACAACCTTTTCTCTCAGCACCTTCACCCCCCCTTCCCTACTCCTGGAGTGGGAGCAACTAGACTCTGTAATGGGAGAAGGTGAGCAGAACAGAGAGCTAGTCTGATGGAGGAAGGTCATTGGTTAAAAAAATAAAGAAACTGCCTTGGCCCATTTTATTAGTTAGAACATAGGTGGGTGGAGTAAACAGAACAGAATGCTAGGAGGAAGAGGAAGTGAGCTCAGAGACGCCATGCTCCCCTCTCCCGGGCAGCCGCACTTGATGAAGCAATCCGCCAGGTCAGACATGCTGAATCTTTCCCGGTAAGACCAGTGCTACACAGTTTATTAGAGATGGGTTGATCGGGATATCAGAATTAGCCAGTAAGGGCTAGAGCTAATGGGCCAAGCAGTGTTTAAAAGAATACAGTTTGTGTGTTATTATTTTGGGGCATAAGCTAGCCAAGCGGCCGAGGTGCTGGGGACTCAGCCCCGCCGCTTGTATTACAACACTAGTCCTTTGCAATACTGGTCTACAGATTCTGCTCATCTTCTGGCATTTGTGACAATGCCCTTTGTTGTTTACCTCCATATTGTCTGACACTGTGCACATCACTACTTTTTAAAAAACAAACAAACAAATAAACCCCTCACTTTTGGAAAAGTGCGGTGGCTTTGAGGATATGTGCAAAGCCTTCCTACCCAAGTGTGATCTGCCGTCAGCAGCACTGGCAGGGCAGAGGGTGGAAAGCTAGAATTCTCCTATCACCAGTGCCCAGGGGACTGCTACACGTGATTTCTAGGGGAACAAACCCCCCACCCCCCGGACAGCAGCTCTTGGGGAAGGAACTTTTTTTAATGTGAACACTTCTTAGGATAAAAGCCTAACCAGGAGAGACAAGGTAACGTGTCTGGCTGTGCCAGCTCAGACTGCAGGTTGTCTCCAGGCTCTCACTGCCCCCAGGAACTGTCTGACAAAGATTTTCAGAACTTAGAGTAAAAGACAATTCCTACACTTTTTGGTTTAACTAAGATTACCTTGGTTAATTATAGAATCACCAGAACTAGAACTTGGTTGTGGCAGTTCACACTTGCAACGCCAATGTTGAGTAGGCAGAGGCGAGGGGATTGAGTTTGAGGCTAGCCTGGGCTACATAGGAAAAAAAAGTCCTAGAATAAGGAAATGAAGTCACATTTGGTCATTGATCCACACGCACTAGGAATAATTAAGGGCTGACTTACCGTCGATTCTATTATTTTACCGTTGCACCACAAATCCATAGTGTTTTTCTCTGTAAGAGGAACAACATTGAAATATTGTAATTCTATATTCAAAGTTAATCTTTTGTATTTATTTTAATTTGTATGTGTAAGGGTGTTTTGCTTGCATACATGCCTGTGTACCACATGTGTGCTGAGTGCCCACAGAGACCAGAAGAGGGTAGTGCCCCCGCCAGCTGGAACTATCTACCCCAAATAGGAAAAGAGAAACCTGGGCTTGGCAGCCCATGCCTGTAACTCCAGCACTCAGGAGGCAAGGGCTGGATGATGACTTTGAAATTCAGACCCTCTTGTTTCTATCTCTCTGGGACTATAGTCATGTGCCATAATAAACCAATGTATTATGTGTCATGGTAGAATTCAGACTCAGGGCTTCCTGAATTCTAGGCAAGCACTCTATCAAATGAAGTATATTTCCAGGGCACCCTCTCCTCTCCCCTCCCCTCCCCTCCCCTCTCCTCTCCTCTCCCCTCCCCTTCTCTCCCCTCTTCTTTACTCTCCCATCCATTCCCCTCTCCTCTCCTGTTCTCTCCTCTTCCCTCTTCTCCCTTCCCCTCTCTTCTTGTCTCCTCTCTCCTCTTCTTCCTTCTCTCCCCTCCTCTTATTCGTATTCTGAAGTATAGGGTGTCCTGGAGCTCTCTATGTAGATCAAACTGACCTCTAACTTGCAACCAATACTTCTGCTTCAACTTCTTGAGTAGTATGATTATAGGCATGAACTACCTTTCTTGGCTTGATAGATTTTTTTCATTAAATAATCATTTTTTTTTAAAAAAAGCTGCTTTGTTAATCCCAGCATTTGGGAGGTAGACCGGTTTGAATCTCTTAAATCTCCATGACTTTGAAGCCAGTCTGGACTACACAGTGGGACTCTGCCTCAAAGGGTAGCGGTGGGCACTGAAGAGAAGCTAGAGACTCTTGCTGCTATTGTAGAGGCCCAGGTTTCTTTCCCAGCACCCACATGGTGGCGATAACTCTGGTTCCAGTCATGGTGTCCTCTTCTGGTCTAACAGGCACTAGACATGCAAGTAGTACACATACACAAATGTAGAAACACATACACATAAAATAAAAACAAATAAACTTTTTAAAAAGTCACTTTGTTCAGCCAGGTAGTGGGGGTGCACACCTTTGATCCCAACATTCAGGAGGCTGAGGCAGGCAAATCTTTGTGAATTTGAGGCCAGCCTGGCCTACAAAGTGAGTTCCAGGACAGTTAGAGCTACACAGAGAAACCTTGTCTCAAAAAACAAAACAAAACAATGAACAAAGAGCCACTTTGTTCAAAACTGCCACAATGACGTCTAATACTTTGTATGCTAATCTAGTTTTTAAGAATTAATAAATGAAAGCTATTTGCTAGCCTTCAGTTTAACAATAGAATGGAAAGGCATGGATATCTGTGTATTCTCAGTACCTGGTACTGGTAGACTAACTGCTATTTTCGAGATAGTTAACAGATATGATCTAAATAGATGAACTAACATGATTATAGTAAATTTGATTTAGTGATGGGAACAGAAGTAGGAAGACTAGAAGTGAGGAGGCTAGTTTTAAAAATCCTACTGAGTAGGAGAGATGGATCAGCGGGTAAAACAGTCACCACGCAAGCATGGGAACTAGAATTGGAACCCTGGAACCCACATAAAGCTCCAATGGTTGTCTTGGGTCTTTAGTCTCCATCTTTCTAGGGTGAGATGAGATTCAGAGCCAGGAGAATCCCCTAACTTGTGCGCTAGCTAACCTGCTGTATCAGAAGAAACCAAACAAGATGGAAGGCCAGGACCAACACCCAAGGCTGTCCTCTGACCTCTACGTGGCCCCCTAGAGCACTCACACACAATGTACACATGTACATATATTACATATACATCATGCACACCATATAGATGACACATATACATTTGTCCTAGTTAACGTCAGCTGACAACTTGACATGCCTATAGTCATCTGAGGGAGCCTCAATTTCCTAGACCGGACTGGTCTGTGGTCATGTCTGTGACGGACTGTCTTGAGTTAGGACGGATGTGGAAGGAGCTGAGAGAGCAAGCCTGCAAGCAGTGCTTCTCCAGGATTCCTGCCTCCAGGTTCCTGACTTGAGTTTCTGGCATGACTTTTGTCAAGATGTACTATAACCTGCAAGCTAAAAGAAACCACCTTTTCTTCCTCATGTGGCTTTAGGTCACAGTTTTGATCACAACAGAAGAGAAAATAGGACAACATTTTTTAAAAAAATCTTTAGCTGGAATTGATGGCTTTCCTTCTTTTCTTCTTCTTCTTTCTTCTTCTTTTTCTTCTTCTTCTTCTTCGTCTTCTTCGTCTTCTTCTTCTTCTTCTCTCTTTCTCTCTCTTTCTTTGTTTTTTTAAAAATATTTATTTATTATGTATACAATATTCTGTCTGTGTGTATGTCTGAAGGCCAGAAGAGGGCACCAGACCTCATTACAGATGGTTGTGAGCCACCATGTGGTTGCTGGGAATTGAACTCAGGACCTTTGGAAGAGCAGGCAGTGCTCTTAACCACTGAGCCATCTCTCCAGCCCCTATCTTTCTGTTTTTTTGAGACAAGGTTTCTCTCTGTAACAGCTCTGTCCTGGAACTCACTCTCTAGACCAGGCTAGCCTCGAACTCACAGAGATCCACCTGCCTCTGCCTCTCGAGTGCTGGGATTAAAGGTGTGTGCCACTATTGCCTGCTTAAAATCCTATCTTACTAATAAACCTTACATTTCTAACTTTTAAAACCTTTTTGTCTTTTGATTTTGTTTCTCAAAACAGACCCTGGGTGTCCTGGAACTCTCTATGTAGACCGAGCTGGGTTTAAGCTCAAAGATCCTCCTGCCTCTTTCTCCTGTTGCTGGGATTAAAGGTGTGCACCACCAGGCCTGGCTGTAACCTTTTTTTAACTTAATTTTTTCATTAAATGTATGCATTTGTTTGTGGGTATGTGCGCAGACGTGTAAGTGCCCTAGGAAGCCAGGTGAGGATGGCCAGTTCCTAGCTCTAGAGGTCCAGGTGGTTTTGAGCCACTAGACGTGGGTGCTGGAATCTGAGCTCTGAGAGAAAAGTGTGTGCTCTTAACTGCTGGCCCATCTCTCCCAATTCCTCCTGTTCTGTGTCAGTGTCCGCTTTACTGCTGCCTCCACCTTTTAGCCTTGAGATGGTTCACAATTTTATAATAATGATAGTACTGAAACTAACTCTTGTCCACAGAAATGCAAATGAATCTCACCGTCTCTGTTGACACCGAATAGTTTCCCATCTGTCTGCAAACCCATTTCAGCTTTCCTGAGCACCCAAGTATGTATGAACACATGTAATTGCATGTGAACATATATATGTATTGCTGTCTATGTGTATGTGTTTGATTTTGTTCATTTTTTCTGTTTTTTTTTTTCAGTTTTCTTGTTTTGGGGGGAATGATTTTGCTTTTGCTTTCATCTTGAAACTGGGGCTCAGACCTAGGGCGTGGCACATGCTCGGCAGGTGCTGTACCACCACCCCACATCTCCAGCTCTGTGTTTTGTTTTAGGGAGCCACCTTAGGGTTGGCAAGAGACTTGAACCTAGAGTGGCTCCCAGATACCTAAGCCGAGGTCCCCAGTTAGTTCCTTGGGCAGCTGAGGATGGGGAACCTGAAATGACCCTATCCTAGAGCAATACTGACGAATATCTTGCATATCATCATAGAACCTTCATCTGGTGATGGATGGAGACAGAGACAGAGACCCACACTGGAGCACTGGACTGAGCTCCCAAGGTCCCGATGAGGAGCAGAAGGAGGGAGAACATGAGCAAAGAAGTCGGGACCACGAGGGGAGCACCCACCCACTGAGACAGTGGAGCTGATCTATTGGGAGCTCACCAAGGCCAGCTGGACTGTGACTGAAAAAGCATGGGATAAAACTGGACTCTCTGAGCATGGCGAACAATGAGGGCTGATGAGAACCCAAGGACAATGGCACGGGGTTTTGAACCTACGTAATGTGCTGGCTTTGTGGGAGCCTAGCCAGTTTGGATGTTCACCTTCCTAGAAATGCACGGAGGGGGGAGGACCTAGGACTTACCACAGGGCAGGGAAATCTGACTGCTCTTTGGGCTGGAGAGGGAGGGGGAGAGGAGTGGGGGGAGGGGGAGAAGGGTGGGAGGAGGGGGAGTGAAATGGGAGGCTGGGAGGAGGAGGAAATTTGTTTTTTTTTTTTTCTCTTTTCTCAATAAAAAAAAAAAGTTAAAAAAAAAAAAGAAATTCTCCTTCGAACTGTCCCTTAACATCTTTCCTTGTTAAATAACGAGAGAAATAAAAAGCTTCACGTTTATGTAAAAATAAATTATTCTCCTGTCAGACAAAACAAAACCTCGAGTGTTGATTAAATATTGGATGATGACTTGCTCAATGGAAGCAGGAGGAAAAGGCGGCTCCTGCAATGTTTCTCCTCTTAAATCTCTCACTTAACTCTGCGGAAGGAAGGATTGGATAGTCACCATAAAAGTCTAATATGGTCTGTGTGGGTTCAAGCTAAACGGGGTGACAGAGCTGAGAGGGAGAAGGGGGCACAAGCAGGAAGTGATTTCCAACTGGCAACTGCCGGCAAAGAAAGAAAATCAGTTTTCTCCCAATGACGTCTCACTGGCTCTGTAAACCACACTTATCAGTAGGCCCCACACCCAGCCGTGACCAACACAAAACACACTCAGTGGTGTTCTTATAGATTTGTTTTCTTATATCACTTTGTCTGGGTTTTTGAAAAAAATCTTATAAATCTTTTGCTTGTATATTAGGGGTTCCAATTTTGTGTTTTTGTTGATTTTTATTTATTTTATTTTTTTGTTTGTGTGTCTCTGTGTGCATGTGTTTCTTGTGATTTTTTTTCCAGTTTTTAAATTCTGCTTTGTTTGCTTTTTTAAAAATTTACCTGTTTGTTTTCTAAAGAGATTTAAAAAGCATGGCATTGGATGGGTGGGGAGGTGGGGAGGATCTAAGAGAAGATTGAGGAGGAGAAAGCATTTATCAGAATATATTGCAGAATGTATTTTATGAACTTTCAATTAAAAAAAATTCAGGGGCTGGAGAGATGGCTCAGAGGTTAAGAGCAGTGGCCATTTTTCTAGAGGTCCTGTGTTCAATTTCCAGCAACCACATGGTGACTTGCAACCGTCTGTAATGAGATCTGGTGCCTTCTTCTGGCCTGCAGTGATACATGCAGGCAGAATGCTGTACATATAATGAAAAAATAAATCTTAAAAAAAAATTCTGCAAAAACAGGCCTGACTTACCCAAAACAATTCTAAAGTTCTCGCCATCCAAGTGCAGTACCCAGGTGTTGGTGGTCTTAGCTCTGTTTTCCACATATTTCTTGAAGCTTTTCCCCTCAATTTCCAGAATATATTTCAAAACATAAGTTTTGACAGGAAGTATACGTATGGTGGCTTTGATTTTTCTAGCTCCAATGCAGAAGGTTTCTTTGCCCACTAAATTGAACATCCACTCCTTTCTTATCTCTTCCTAGACGACAAAATAAAATAGGTTAAAATGTACACACAGAGGGAAGTTTAACTTTTTCTTCACACATTTTATTGTCTATATTTTTCATTCATCACTTTCAAACATGAAACTCAAAGCATGAGAAAGAATGGGGATAAAAAGAATCTGACTCTTTCTCTTCACAGCGTAAAGGAATATGACAGAATTTCTTTTTTCTTTTTTTTTTTTTTTTTTTTTTTTTGGTTTTTTCGAGACAGGGTTTCTCTGTGGTTTTGGAGCCTGTCCTGGAACTAGCTCTTGTAGACCAGGCTGGTCTCGAACTCACACAGATCCGCCTGCCTCTGCCTCCCGAGTGCTGGGATTAAAAGCATGCACCACCACCTCCCAGCGACAGAATTTCTAAAAGGCTGAATAATCTTCGAAATGTTAGCTAAGAGAGTTCACGATCCAATAATTCATGAGGTATAAAGGACTCATTGAGGTGTGTTTAAGGATAATATTCAGGATAAAACTCATAAAGTTAAATAAACCTTAGATCCAAAAGTAAAAGAGTTATGCTACATCAAAATGATGACATAGTAAAAGGGACACGTAGGTCACCCAAGGGCTACCTACAGGTTAATTTTATGTGTCTGTTTGGCTAAACTAAGGATGTTAGTGTTTGTCTGTGAGTACATGCTGTAGTCTGGGTAAAACTGAATGGAAGTTATGTTCCTAACATAGCGTGTCCTGGAAACTTGGTTCCCAGTGTAGTACCACAAAGAGGTGGTGACACTTACGTTGGATTCCAAGGAAACTTTAATATATAACATGTAAGAAATAATCAAGGTGCTTGAGGTGGGTGGAAAATATTATAAGAATTAGGAAGTATGGCCTTGCCAGGTGGTAGTGGTGCCTGCCTTTAATCCCAGCACTCAGGAGGCAGAGGCAGGCAGATCTGTGTGAGTTCGAGGCCAGCCTGGTCTACAAGAGCTAGTTCCAGGACAGGCTCCAAAGCTACACAGAGAAACTCTGTCTCAAAAAACAAAACAGCACAAAACAAAGCAAAAAACGGACATGTGGCCTGGTTTGAGGAAGTGTGATGTGGGATTCCCCCTCTGTATGCTGTGATTACCATTAATGAATAAAGAAACTGCTTTGTACCTATAGCGGGGCAGAATTTAGCTAGGCAGGGAAAACTAAACTGAATGCTAGGAGAAAGAAGGCAGAGTCAGAGAGAAGTCAGGGAGCTGCCACCAGAAACAGACACCTTGAAATATTGTTGGTAGGTCGCAACTTCTTGGTGATGCACAGATGAATGAAGATGGGTTAAATTAAGATCTAAGTGTTAGCCAATAAGAAGCTAGAGCTAATGGGTCAAGCAGTAATTTAAATAATATAGTTTCTGTGTGATTATTTCGGGTCTGAGCAGCCAGGCAGCTCGGAAACAAACAAGTGGCCTCTTAACTACAGAAGTGTGTCACTGGGGGTGGGCTTTGAGGTTTCAAAAGCTCATGCCAGGCCCAGAGGCTCACTCTCTCTTCCTGCTGCCTGTGGATCAGCTGAGAACTCGCCGCTGCTTCTCTAGCACCATTCCTGCCATGTCTATTGCCATGCTTTCTGCCATGTTGATAATGGACTAAACCTCTGAAATTGTAAGCAAGCCCTAACTAAACACTTTCTTTTATAAGAGTTGCCTCGGTCATGATGCCTCTTCAAAGCAATAAAACACTAGGAAGTGATCAAAACGCAATGTTGTTTGTACTTTATGAATTCATAATATCAAAGTTTTTTAAAAAAATAATTTTTCTGTGTATGGTGACACATAACTTTAATTTCAACACTTGGGAGGCAGATGAAGGCGAATCTCTGTGAGTTCAAGGCCAGCCTGTGTATACAGTGAGTTCTAGGACAGCCAGTGCTACTTAGACCCTGTCTGAAAAGAAAAGGTCATTTTAAGTTTAAATACCAGATTTCATATTCTTGTATCCTTCTGTAACTACCACTGGATTGCTTTATATAGAAAAATAAATAGGTGAAAAACATAACCATTGTCAGAAAAAAGCCCTGATTTCATATATGAAGAAGCTACACCAATAAAACCAAGCTCCAGGGCTGACGAGATGGCTCCATGTTAAGAGTACTTACTGCTCTTCCAGAGGACCCAGGTTCAATACCCAGCACCCACATGGCAGCCACAACTGTCTGTAACTGCAGGCTCAAGGGATCTGATACCCTATTCTGCCCTCAGAGAATTCCAGACACAGGTGGTGTGCCTGCATTCAGACAGGCAAAACATCCTTACCCAGTAAAACAAACAAACAAACAAATAAATAAATAAAAGCTTAAGAAAACAAGGTGCTGTAGTCTTGCATGCTTTTAATCCCAGCACTGGGGAGTGAGCAACAAGAGGTTCTCTATGAGGTCTCGATCAGTCCTGTCTATACAGCAAGTTATTAGGAGATCCACAGGGAGACCGCATCTCAAAGAAAGAGGGAGAGAGGGAGGAGTATGAGCTATACAGTCTCATGTTTTCCTACCTTTCCATCCACATATACGACTCGTTTTCCTGATGTGGTCCCATGTTCAAACTCAATCTTGTGGATTCCATCACTTAAAATAACGTCCCAAATAGCTACAACATCTGACATTTTCCCTGGGCTATAAAGAGGGCAAAGGAAATAAAAATGAAGTCATTAAAATGGGCTAAAACAGGAGCCAATTAATCCTCTCGAGATGAAAATAACAGATTTCTTTTTTCTTTTTTTCCTTCCTTCATTCCCTTTTTCTTTCTTTCTTTCTTCCTTCCTTCCTTCCTTCCTTCCTTTCTCTTTCTTCCTTTCTTTTTTCCTTTCTCTCTCTCTTCCTTTCTTTCCTTACCCCCCCACTCTTTCTCTCCCTCCCTCTCTCTCTGCCAGACTGCTGTGTATTCCAGGCTGGCTTCAACTTACTATGCAAGCCTGATGATCAAAGTTTGACCCCTAGGGCCAACGCAAGTGTGGAAGGAGAGAGATGACTCCACAGAGTTGTCCTCTGACCTCCACACATACTTCATAATACACACCCCAACATACATGTTCACACATCACTAAAAAACAAAACAAAACAAAAAACCCAAAAAACTCAACAAAAAAGCCAAGTCCGTGGTTTTATGGGCTGCGCAGTGGCTGTGCTCTTTAGTTGTTCAAAGTCTTGTACTTTCCCTACAAATATCAGCCTTCAGCTTTTCAGGTTATTGTTTATTTGAACCTATTTTCAAACAATACTGTCCTAGACAGGCATGGTGGCACATACCTGCAATCCAAGCATTTGGCAGGTAGAGGCAGGAGGATGTCAGGAGTTCAAGGTCATCTTCTGATGCGATGAGGCCACTGGAGACCCTGTCTAAATCAAACCACACCAAACCACAATAAAACACCAAGATGCTGCTCCAACCAGTGGATTCACTGAAAAGTAACAGTGTGTTTTGGTGATGACAGAGGTACTGGCTCGTGGCAAGGAAGACCTAAAATCCTGCGCAGAGTGATATCCCTGAGGCTGTCGCTTGGCACCTGGTATGGCCTACCTACCATGCATGAGAGTGATGAATGCTCCCAGCCCAGCCCCAGGGTTCTGGCTCTGGTTGAGTGGGATCTGCAAACCCCGAGACGGGAAGAGTGCTAGGTTGTCTCAGTGTCCCCTGTCTAGTGCATATCTCGGTGTTCTGTTTGTTGTTTCTGTAGTCAGATACACTGCTACACAGCTAAGGGGCCTGTGGGAACCTACCTGACTCACAGGCCACAGAGTTCACAGGGACCATAAGTGGCTTCTGGTACAGCAAGGAAAGACCTGTGTTGCCCCCAGTACATCAGTTTTAATGGTAGGAACAACAACAACAACAACGAGTCCAGCTGTAAACTACCCTTACACCTGGCAGGTGCCAATAATGTAGGACCAGAAGGAAGCTGTCAATTGTCCTTTTCAAAAGCTTTTCTAAACTCCCCCCCCTTTAAATGCATTTATTTCAAGTATATTTTAGACCCACCCCCTTTAAAATATAATAATTAAAACAAATAGCCAGGGCCTTGTACTTTCCAGGCAAGCACTCTACTACTAAGGGTTATCCCCATCACTTTTGGGGTGTTTGTTTGAGATAGGGTTTCACCCACTTTCAGGGTTTTTTAGACAAGGGTTACTCTATAGTCCAGGCTGGCCTCATCTTCCTCAGTGCCTGTCAAATGTCTTATGTCACTTTCGAGTTCTTTGAGGCAGGATTTCTCCCTAAACTTGGATCTTGTGTTTTCTTACCTAGTAGGAAGCCTACAAACCCCAGGGATCCTTCTGTCTCTGCTGGACTCAGAGCTGGGGTTAAAAGCACATGCTGGATGCCTGGTCTGTTCCCTGGGGGTGGGGACCTGAACTTTGGTCCTCATGATTGTGCAGCCAGTGTTCTTAGTGGATGGGACATCTCTCCACCCTTACTATTACAAAGGGGACATATAGGCACAGATAATAATAGTGAGTGACTTTAATCCCTGACTCTCATCAGTAGAGAGATCTTCCAGCCTAAAGAGCATGAAGCTTCAGAGTTAAAATGCACCATAGATATAAAGAGGATTTTAGAAACATCTATAGATTGTTTACCATCTGTGGAATACATTTTCTTCTCAGTAGCGCATAAAATTTCTTTAAAATACCATTTTTAGGCCACAAATCTTAACAAATACAACAAAATTGAAGTAATTTCTTTTTTTTTAATTGTACCAAATCCTAATGGAATAAAACTAGGAATAAATGGCAAGGCACCTGCAGAAGCTGTAGCCATACACAGAGAAGGAGCAATATACACTCTATTGGGAGATAAGGTCTTACTCCGTAGCCTAGGCTGCCCTAGAACTTACCTTGTAGCAATCCTCCTGACTCAGTCTCTACATGATGGGATTACTGGCATGAGCTAACACTTCTGACTGCCACAAGTACAGCCTTGATTATACCGGGCATCATTGATGAACTCAAGAAAGAAGACATATGTCTTAACCAACAATAAATGCTGGTTACGGAACTGTTATTGGGGATGTTAGCAAATGCAGTCACCATGGAAATCAGCATGGAGGTGTCTCAAAAACAAAACCAAACAACCTGTAGTGGCATTTCATTTGTATTTTAATAAATAAAGCTTGCCTGAAGATCAAAGAGTAAAACAGCTCTACTGTTCAACTTCACAGACCAGGCAGTGGTGACACACACCTTTAATCCCAATAGCCACACTAGTTGCCATAGAAACTGGGTAGTGGATGCATGCCTTTAATCCCAGTGGTGCACACCTTTAATCCCAGTGCTAGAGAGGATTATAAAATGAGAGGAGACAGCTCTCAGACACAGCCTCATTCTGAGATTCCTGGAGGCAAGATCACCATTTTTAGACTGAGGTAGAGGTAAGAGCCAGTGGCTGGCTTTTCTGACCTTTAGGTTGAACCCCAATTTCTATCTCTGAGTTTTTATTAATCATGCTTCAACAACCCACAAAGACTTTGTAGCTATAGGACTAATTAAATACCAGAAAGAATCTAACTCAGCATGCGCTTGGCATATCTATACACTTATGTTTATTTGGGCACTCTGTACAATAGTTAATACATAGAATAAAGCTTAGTGCCCATCAACATGTAAATGGATAAAGAAAATGAAGTCTGTATTAATAATGGAGTATTATTTATCCACAAAAAATGCAAAAAAAAGGTTGTTACTGGACAACCGACAGAACTGAAAATCAACATGCTCAGGCAGAGAAACCACACCCAGAAAGACAGATGTTACATATTCAGTCTAAAACAAACAAACAAACAAAAACCCAAAGCAAAATACACCAAAAACCAAGACATGAGAGCAGAAACTATTTGGGAAAAGGAAGGCGACCAGCAGATGTGTTAATGGGTGAGGACCTAGGGGCTGTTGGGAGGGATGGTCAAAGCATTAAAAGGCTAGAGCCTTTTGAATAGTGTCACTCATAAAACTGCAGGGAGGCAAGTTGCCTGGCCTCAAGGTCAGATACTTCTGAGGTGTGGACATGGCCACCACAGATGGATGGCTTCAAGCTGTCCTCTGCCCTGCTGTCTGGGCTGTGGCCTCACCTGTGCAATTGTGGCCTTCGCAAAGCAGCATGTCCGGTCTGACTAATACCACACAGTCTTGCTCCTGCAGCAAGCTTGGGGACCGGAAGATCTGGAAGCATGCGCGTGGAACAGTACAGGCGGGTCCCTGCCGCCCTGCTTCTTGATCCTACCGGTGAGGTTGTCTACTCTGATGCTTTGTCTCCTTCACAAGCTTTCCTCAGTCTGTATCCCAGACATCACCAAGTCCCGCCCTGTGAGCAAAGCCCAACAACAAACGTTGCTAAGAGCCATCTTCATAGGGTGCCAGAGTGAAACTGATGGGCAAAACCCCAGGACCGGTGCTGCACGAAGCCCGAGGAAGGTAAATTTGCTGGTGACATTGGCTTTCAAAAAACAGTTTCTGGCATCCCTTTCCTCTTCTACCTATCGTGATAGTGGAGATTGGGCTGATGTTCGATGTCTCATAAATCGCCTGAATTGGTCTTGAACTCATTCTGTAACTCAGACAGACCTCAAGCCTGCAACTCTCCAGAGTTCAACCTTTATTTTTTTTAAAGACCCAGACTCCTTAAGGTGGATATTGTGCCCCCATCTCTGTGTGAACTAGCCCTTGCCTTCTCTTTATTCCCATCCTTAAGGATGCAGGCAGGTTGCTTGGTGCTAGACATGTTCCCTCCACCCCGGGGCATCTTTTCATTCCTTCCTACTGTGTCAGTTGTTTTTCTCGTGTCTTTTGTTTATTTTAATTTTTTTTTAATTTTTAAAATTGAGTCTTGCTGTGTAATCCATTCTGATTTGGAACTCACTTTAACGCAGGCTGGCTCAGATTCTCCATCCTGCCTTAGCCTCCCCAGTGCTAGGATTACATCTGAATGAAGAATAGGCTTGGATAGTATTAGAACTCAGGACATACCACCCCCAAAATATTACTATAGGAAAACAGGACATTCTGAAGACGTTTTTGCATATTTTGAGCTGATGTTTGAATGTCTGTTAATTTTTTTTAAAAAAAAAAACCCTAACTAGCATGATAGGCACCTTCCAAAAGTAATGAGTGGTCCCCACACAAGGAGGCCCAACAACCCAACAGAGACATTTGAAGGGATCAAGGGCTTCCAAGGGCCTAGCATATTTGAGGTCTGTGATCATCTTAATGCTAGTGTCCTTTCAAAATTTGTATGTTGAAACTTGACTTCCAATAGAAGTCTTAAGAAGTGTGGCCTTTAGGAGGTGGTTATGTCCTGTGGGCACTGCCTTCCTGAATGGGATCAATATCTTTATAAAAGTGATGTGGCAGGTTCCGTTTGCCTCTTCCACTGGTCCTGTTCTGCCCGGCTCAAAATATGCCCATCGCTGAGATGAGCTTTGCCAAAGAGAGACGATTCTAGAGGTGTATGAGGATGAGAGGGCGAGTTTGCGCCTGTCTCCTCAAGTGTATTAGTGACAAAGTGACCCAAACAGCTCACAGGAGGGACGGTTGATTTTGGCTCAGGGTTCCAGGGGCGCCAGGGTGCCATGGCGGGGTCGGCATGGTGGATGGAGCACCTTACACCTTGGTCCCCAGGAAGTAGAGCAGGCAGCTCACATCATGACAGACTGGAGGCAGAGAAAAGAGGGTATAAGAAGAGGCCAGAGCAAGACAGCATCCAAGGACATGCTCCTAGTGACTTAAATCCTCCAGCGAGTCTCCGTTTCTTACTTCTCATCCCCTACTGATAAAAGCATGTTAGACTGTGATTCATCAAAGGATTGTTCCGTTTATTAGGTCAGAGTCCTCGAGATCTATTCTGGAAACATCATCACACTGAGAATTGCTTCACTAATTCCCGAGGCATTTCTCAGTTCAGTCAAGCTGACAGTGAAGATTATAACCAACACAGAGACGACAGGGTGTAGAATATTTAGAATATTTACGGACTGGGGCGTGGAGAAAAGAGATTAAAAACTAGAAAGTAATTGGTGGTTTAGGCTTTCATGATCAAACTTCAACAACTACATTGACACAAATGTCAGCTCTGAAATTGGTGGCTTTTAACACCAGTTAAAAGCAAGCATCTAGGAATACATGAAGCAGGTTAAGTTGAGAGGATTTAGGCTGGAATTAAGAGCAGGGAGAATGGGATAAGTGTGAAGAATTTGTTCAGGTTTTCTTTGGATTCATATGAATGAAGGAAGAAGGCATCGTGTTTGAAATAGGCAAAATAAGCCCTCCCTGGGCTCTCAATCTCCTGGCACCTTGATCTTGGACTTCTCAGCCAGAACAGAAAGCAACAAATTTCTGTGATTTAGAGATGATCTAGTCAAAGATACTTTGTTATAGGAGCCGGAATGGGTCCTGTCTTACAGTTTATTTCTGCAGCGGATGATAACATTCCAGCATTGGGCTTGATATGGTAGATAAAGTTTCAAGGGGCTGAGCAAGTTCAGTCTGGGAGAGAAGACAGCGGACGTGAGGAAGCAACCTATTGATTAGGTTAATAGATCTCGAAAGTGATATGCCTGAAATCCTCAGCAAAGTGTGCTACAGAGATTCTGCCGGGAGAGCAACTGCTTTGCTCCTGACCTTGCATCAAAAGATCACTAAAGAGGAAGACTTCACTGTAGCCCTTTCTTGGTCATTTGTTTTTTATTTGTAGATCAAAGTTTATAATAAAAGATTCACAAAAAAATGAAGAAGGTGGTGTAGAGTGGAAGTTTCCAGAGTTTGGACAAAGTTGGTTGATTTTCCCCATCCCAATACTTAATGGTCCCCTTCTGAATTCCTTTATTTATTTATTTTGGTTATTTGAGACAGGGTTTTTCTGTAGCTTTGGAGCCTTTCCTGGAACTAGCTCTTGTAGACCAGGCTGGCCTCGAACTCACAGAGATCCACCTACCTTTGCCTCCCAGTGCTGGGATTAAAGGCATGCACCACCACCGCCCAGCCTGAATTTTTTTTTTATCAAGTCCTTAATTCTGAGAAACAACTCTGAGCTGGGAGGACCAGGAAACCCCAGTGGGCTCACACCTCACAGCTTGTGAAGGATAACATTTTTTTTTCATAAAATCCAAGGATTCTTGCCATCTTTTGTAAGACTAATAAAATAATCCATGAAGTTCTTGCTATGTGCCTCGAATTCTCACAACAGCCCAGTGATCATATTTATTCTGTTTTACATGGGGACCCAAAAGCCCTTCAGAAGGTATGGGCTTTATATTTGGAGTTAGGCACATAGGATTTGGAATGTCTATGCTAAGAGAACATATTTTCAGAAAAATATTGTGTTTGAACAAAAACTTGGGCTTAATGTTTGGGGCTCATCCTCTGAGGTACACTGAAATCTGTCTGGAATTGGACAAGGTGACCTGTGATTCCTCAGCTGGCTGTTTCCTCTCCCCTTGGTTTCTGGCATACTGGACTCGACGAATCATTTGGGCGAGGTTTTATATCTGTTCCACTGAGGCAGGACACTCACAGGAAGAACAGCCATTTATCACCTGCCGGGACTATGCGGCAGGAAATCATGTCTGAACAAAGCACCTTGAAAGGTCTTGAATTTAAAAACGAAACATTCTTGTTGGGGCTGAGTGAGCTTTTGGCTTGGTTCTGGGTCTCAGATTGCCTCCTTGCTTCTCGGGAGGTACCCAAGGGCTATTCAGCTTCAGAAGTTGCCTCTCACCAACATGCGCACGGAACTACTGCCTTAAGAGAGCGGCTGGAAATACTTCCATCACAATATGGCATATTTGTGTGCGGCCTCCTTTTGAAATGGGTGGGCTGATTTTTCCAAATACAGTTTTTAAAAGGGATGGAGACTGAAATTAAAGGAAAATAACTGTACCACATGCCCAGATATTTTAATTTTTTACTGTCACCCTCCCAATATTGGCTCTGGACTCAAGGAATATTGGCTATCACCACTTTAGAAACCACTTACAATTATGGTGCCCCCTCTTTCCTTTCTGGAACTCAGGCTTATGCCACCTGGCATCTCCCAAGCAATTACAGTCCAAGCAAAATACTGATCAGGAGGCATGGTGTGTCTGCAGATCGGTCTCAATAAAACAAAAAACGAAACCAGATGCGTTTCTGAGGGGAAAGGAAGTGTGTGGCTGTGGTTGCTCCTCATAGGCAGCTGGAAACTCATTTTAGTGTGAATTTATCATGTTTACAACAGCACAGACTAAAAGCAACTGGACCCTTTGAAACGTATTGAATTGCAGAATTAACCAACCTTAAAGTCTACCTCCTCTGGGATTTCTTGTTTTGTGAGCTAATCATTTGCTGTATTGTTTAAGACAGTTTGAATTAGGGTTTCTCTCACTGGCATCGGAACTAATGATAACCCAGGGATGCTCGACCTATGAATGCAATTAGAGCAGCTGGACTCAGAAGGATGGCAAAGTCACACTATTGCTCTGGAAAAGGCAAACAGTGTGCCCGTGGAAAATGAAAATCTGCCAGCTCCTGTTAGTGTGAATACCCAGATATAGAAACTGATGGGAAAGGAGTAGGCGGGGATAGAGGGAGGTGTTTTTGCAGGGAACAAATACAGTTCAGATTCACAGTGGTTCCACCTGGCTTGAGAGCAGTATTCTCTAAGTGCCCTTGAATCTCCTGGTGAGAGTCACCTTAGTTGGTGCAGCAGGTCCACGGAAGCCCTGCTGGGGCTTCTATTTTCACAGACCTTTTGGAAAGGCCTGTTGTCAACAGCGACACCATGTGGTGACAAGATGCAAGAACATTGACGGTAGATTGCCTGAAACTTGGAAGTCTTCCTTCAAGTTTGTGGAAGATGGATTTTCTCTTAAATATTTTGGATTTCTTAACCCTCTGTTAGTTTTTGAAAATAGTGGAGAGGGAGCCTAGTTTTATTTTTTCTTTGGAACAAGGGCTCGTGGAGCTCCCGGTGGCCTTGGCTTTGTGTGTGTGTGTGTGTGTGTGTGTGTGTACTTTTGATATCTGGCCTCGCCTCTTCCTCCTAAATTCTTGGATTACAAGCACGTGCCACCACGCCTGTTTTAGGCGGTGTTGAGGATGAAACCCAACGGCTTCGTGCCTGCCAGCTTTCCACCAACTAAGCTACGTCCGCAGTTCCTGTTCCCTACCAGGTTTAGAATCAGTCTTAATTATATCTCAGCGGGCACTTCTCCCTCCTGGCTATACATTGCACTCACCTGGGGGGACCTTAAAAACTCTGGACACGTGGGCCTCCTCGCTCCAGAGATTTTTATTTAATTAACCTGGAGGCCCGCAGATCAAGTTTTCAAAGCTTTTCAGCCTTTCAAATGTGGAGCAATGGTTGGGCCTCCCCTGGCCCTCTGGTTCCTCTCTGTTAAGTGCAAACCCTTTCCGAAACAGGCTGGCTTATCAGTGTCTAACAGGAGTCCACCTCCCTAACTAGACTGAGCATCTTCAGTCGGGCGGCTCAGTACTTCATAGACATTTTAAAATGTTCAAGAAAATGAAATATTATCAGGAAACGCTGATTGGGGGGTCCCCCAAATGCCAGCCTATATACACCGCTCTTCGACAGGTGTGGAGAGTCGAGAGCGCACAGATGAGCCCCGTTAAAGACTCGCAGATCTGGCAGCGAGCGCGATCATCCAGTGATAGCGAGGCAGCCCGGGCCTCACTTTCATTTGAGACCGCAAAGTGTATTTCTAGCTTCTCACGAATCAAAGAGACTCCACACTGCTGACAAAGCGTTTACCCGACCGGCGTCCGGGCAGTGTCAGAGAGCCACGAGTCGGTGTGGGTGGGAAGCCCCGCCTCCACGCGCGGAGCCAATCACAGAGTGCGGCGCGGACCCCGCCTCCCAGGCGCGCCAGGTGGCTCTCCCGCCCCGCGGGGAGGCCATCGACGACTTGGGCTCGATTGGTCAGCCTGGCTGCGCTAACGGACGCGGAGGCGGGGCCCAAGCCGCGGGGTGGGCGCGCTGCTAGCTGCAGGCGGCTGCGGAGGTGAGTGGCCCTTGGGGTCGCCGAGGCCGTCGCGGGGTCCCCTCTCAAGAGCACGCCCCAAGGTGTCCTTTCCGGAGTCCCGACCGTCTCCCTGACCAGCCAGGGCCCCCAGGGCTGCTAGGTGCGGGCTGGGAGTCGCGCGTGCAGGGCCGAGCGTGGACCACCCTACGGGAGCCCGCCTGACACTCCGCGTGGCTCGCTTCCCACTCCGCTCCCCACCCCCGGAGCCCCTGCTCCTGTCCGAGTGAACAAGGTGAGCCACCCGGTAGAGGAGGCAGGACCTGGAGCTTAGAATCGTACGTGGCGCCGGCTGTGTTTGGGGTTAGTTGTGGGTCCTCAGGACTGAGTTTGCTCCAGCTCGCTTTGCCGCGCTGTCTAGTGACTGCGATTTGGAGCAAAGTGCGAGATTGCGGAGTCAGGGTAGATGTGGACCCCTCCCTCCTGTCAGACTCATTACAAATTCAGGGGGAGATCCGCTTTTAAGTAGAGTCCACATTGATTGATGTGAAAAATTACCACGAAGCCTAATCAAGGTTCCCATTGCCTTCAACCAATTAATAAAGTTTGTGTGTTCACGCGACAGCTGGGGCGAACGGAGGACAACCTCAGGTGTGGGTCCTTGCCTTCCACCTTGTTTGGAACAAAGTCTTTCGTTTTTCTGCATCCTACCCCGGGGCTAGCGAGGAGAGCGACAGCATCCTCCTTCCATCTGCCCACGGGAGTGCTGGGATTACAGAATTCTCGATTTCTGTGGATTCTGGAGATTGTATCTCCAGCTTTCTAGCGGCAAGTGTCTATACCTACTGAGCCATCTTTATTTGTAATCATACCTTTCTGCGCTGCAGGCGCTGGTTTCCACCTTCTGCATCGCATGGACTTTTGTTTTTAGTCTATTGTCAAATACACATGCTCCCCCATCTTCCCTTGGGAAAGAAATTTGATGAGACTCCGTGCTGTGTTGATGAGGCAGGGTAGGAAGGAGTTTTCCAGAGTTTTTTTCCTCAGCCCAGGACAGGCCAATTCTGGCCTTTCTCGTCATCTGGGATGGAATGATCTGAGATGATCTCCAGTCCTAACTCCCTCTTTAATTTCAGAACAGTAAACAGCAAGTTGCAATATTATTGGGAGTTGTTTTATCTTTAATTTTTAATTTTTTCTGCACAATCGCAAAGCTCAGGCTGAGGATGACCTTGAGTTCCTGACCCTCCTACCTTCAAAATGCTGGGATCACTGACAGACCCTGTCTCGGAAAAAACAAAACAAAACAAAAAAAGGAACTAGCTTTCTAGACTAGGCTGGCCTTGAACTCACAAGATCTGCCTGCCTGCCTCTGCCTCCTGAACACCGGGATTAAAATTGTCTGATACCGTGCCTGGCTTCTGGCTTCTTTTTTTCCCCTTGAGAGAAGGTCTTACTTTGTAACCTAGGCTCTCTGGAACTCATGATTCTCCTTTCTGAGACCCCAAAGTTGGGGATTATGGCATGTATTTTTTCCTTTTTAACACTTGGCTCTATTTGCTTCATACTTAACAATTTCTATTCTTTACCCCTCCCTACTCCAGCAGTCTGAGGTGTTAGTGATACTCCTTAATGCTGTAGCTTCTGCCTTAGTCCTAGGATGAGTTTGTTTTCTTCCTGAGATTTCAGGGTTCCCAACCTGTGTTCTGTTAATAGCCTGAGGTGGGACTACTGCAAATTATTGGCATATTTGCATTAATAGGTAATACTTTCAAGGCTTCGGTTAATTTGTTTTATTAATTTGAAATGTGCTCTTGAGAAAGCTTACAGATTTCACTATGACTCTTGGAAGAACAGGTACAGAACTCAGAATGTTGGGGGACACTTGATCACAGGTGTAGACAAGTGCTGGGCTTCCTGCTATTACCTGAGAGTTCACAATACACTTGCAAGTAAGAATGACTACCCTTGAAGCCACCAATCAGAATGATAGATTAGGATATCCAGCACATGTTTCAACAAAGAAACGGGAGAAGGGATAAGAGAAAAGGAAAGGGGAGGTCTTCTGATGAAGAGCTTTGGAGCGTTCTTGTTACTGCAGTTTTTTAGGCTTTGGTTCCATGGTTATCTGTTCCATGGATACCTGCCTTGTTAATAATGCAAGACCATTTTTAGTGACAGACATTTTTAGTGAAAGACTTTCATTTAAAGTCTTTGGCTTGTATCTTTTTGAAACCTAGATCAAGATCCAGTTTCGGGCATGAGACTCATTGGGTAATCGTTTGAGATCAACTTGGCTGACCAGGTGTAAAGTGCAAGAGGACTCAAAATGACTGAGGTATGTTCAACGTGATGGACGACTCTAGACTGTTCCCAATTTAGGGAGATAGCAAACAAGGTTTATTGTGCTAGATGATAAGTTATGTTTTTCTTCCTTTTGAGTATCTGATAATTCTGTCAAGTAATATTGATAGTTTAACCTCAGTAAGAAAACTGAAGTTCCACAAAGTTAACCAACTCTGCCCTGCTGTGATGAGCTGGCACAACTCAGTGCTCTTTGCGTATTTAGTTTTCTAATCCTTGCAATACTTCTGTGAGCTAAGTGCTCCTCCTCCTCTTCTATGAAGAAATCAAAGCACAGAGGGATTGTTTTCCCCTGTTGTGTGTTGGACTCCCCAGGCCGTCTGGTTGTGTGCTAGCTTTCTTTTGGTTAGTCTTGCCTTAACTTTTTTTTTCTGTAATGATTTGGCAAACCTGTCTCAAGTGGCTGACTGGGAGGGAGCTCTTTTGCTTATACCGAAATCTTGGATCCCTTAGTGTTGACATCCCTGAGTTTGAGCCCTGGACTCTAAACCTTGAGGACTGGAGGCTTAGGGCCCCAAGCTTTCAAAGCCTTGTAAAGCCAGCAGCGAGCAGCTCCAGTCACAGCTCTGGAGCTGTGGCTCTTTAACCTGTGCTCTTGAACACTCCTCGTACCTGGGACTTGCAGTTCTCATAGCTGCGGCTCCTGCCTTCAGTTAGTCAGTGTCTCTCAACTTTTATAACACACCACTGTCTTTTGTGGCTTAACATCTTGCTCTTTCTGCCTTTGGGTGCTCTCTGGAGCTCTTCAGCTGCTTTCTTGTGTGATGTTCTGGTCACGTCCTTGGCTTGCAGTGGCTCAGTGGAATTTTTCACTGACTCTTTAGTCTTACTTAGCTCGTGGTGGCTTTCAGAAACTTTTCAACTGTTTCTGCCAGAGCTAGAAGCTTGGGAATTTTGTCTCATCTTTGTGTAACCAGTTTAATTAGATCTTCCTGTGATTAAAGTCTACAAGTAGGCAAGAGATCGTTTGAGAGAAGACTTTATTGAGCTTAATATTGCAACATGGGGCAATGTTAGCTCATAGGAGGGAAGCCTCTTGCCTGACTGACTAAAATGGCTTGTTTATGTAGCTGGAAGACAGGCCTGCCTTGTTTGGATCTGGACTGTAATTTTACCAATTTTGGTGATTGGTGCTATTAACTTGGCAGAATCTAGACTCACCTGGGAGACTGGCTCTGGGCATGCCTGTGGGGAATTATCTTAATTACATTAATTGTGGCGAAGAGCCCACCTGAGCAGGGTGGTGTCACTCCCTGAATAGAATACCGCATCCTACAAGCGGAGAAAGGGAGCAGAGTAGCATGCTTATATTCAGTTCTGTTTTCTGACTATGGATTTGATGGACCAGCTGCTTTAAGCTTCTGCTGCCTTTGCCTTGCTGCCATAATGACTTGAAATGTGGGTTAAAATAACCCTCATCTCTCTTAGTGATTTTTTTTTTTTGAGAAAGGGTCTCACTGTGTGTCCTTAGCTGACCTGGAACTTGCTAAGCAGACCAGGCTGGCCTCAGACTCAGAGAACTCTGCCTGCCTTTGTCTCCTAAGTGCTGGGATGAAAGGTGCACACTGTCATGCCCATCAACAAGTTGCTTTTAAAAGTATATCACAGGTGTTACATACCTTTCGTCCCAGGACTTGGGGCAGGCCAGGGCTACATAGTAAGACTCTGTCTCAAAAGACACAAAACAAAAACTGTTTACAAATCAGATGAAGGTATTTACTTGTTTATTGTATTGCGTGCCCACATGTTTATGCTACTGCGCTTGTGGACATCAGAGGACAACCTCGTTGGACAAGTTGGTTCTTTCCTTCTGCCTTATGTGTCCTGGGTTCATGGACTCAGGTGTTAGGCTTGGCCTCGAGTGCCTTAACTCACTGAGCCATCTTGCTGGTCCCTAAGTTGCCTTTGTCAGAGTTTTTTATCAAAGCGCCGGGAAAAGAAATTAAGAGACCAATCATACCCCACAGCTGCTGCATAATTCTAGGTCCGTTGATCACAAACCTATCTGCACCGACCGTAATCCTCTACTAGGAACCATTCATAAGCCGTGTGTCGTACCAACCACAGCTTCATTGCTCCCTCCTCCATCCTGAGTGAGAAGAGCAGCGGAGTGGTCAGAGTCGTCTAGAGTTACACAAGCTTTTCTTGCCTGGAATGCAGTCTTGAATAGCCTTCTGAAGCTGGATGATTTTTAGAAAGACCTCCAGAAACGGTTGACACTCTAACAGCATACTGCCATGGTCTTTGCACTGAAATAGTTTCCTCAGAGTGGTTTGATAATAACTTGGCTGCCCTGATGATAGTTCAGGTTGACTTCAAAGAAGCTGATTTATTAGGAGTAATTCCCTACTCAAGGTAGCTAGGCACAAAGAGTTTGACAACGGTCAGTTAAGAGGTGCAGTGGTTCCTTGCTAACTAAAGGAAAAATTAAAGGATGTTTATAATAAAGACCTATCATTAGATTAACTTTTTTTCTTTTTTTTTTCCCAAGATGGTTTCTATGTATATCCTTGGCTGTACTAGAACTACTAGCTCTGTAGACCAGGCTCCGCTGTGGGATATTTGATCACACTGTGAAACCCGAGATTGTTTTAATAAAATCAACATTGAATTAGAGGGTGGAGCAAGCAAATAGTTGACAGACATTAGCCATGGTGAATATGCAGGAAGCAGGAAGATGGATAGAGAGATGCGTAGGAAGTATGCATAGGGAAGGTCAACTGGTTGCTTCTCAGCCTTTCTGAGCTAGCAGATTTTCACGCCAACATCTGACTTCCAAGTCTTTATTGGTAAATAAAACAATAGAGACTTAGTTAAAAAACTACATTTCATGGCAGACTGGTGCAGGGCCTCAGCCACAGATGGAAGTTAAAATATCAGTGGATTCAGATGCGGATACCAAATTGACAGAAAAACACCACTCTACCTCCAGAGTGCTGGGATAAAGGTATGTACCACCACTGCCTGGCAAACTTTATTTTTTGTTTTTCAAGACAGGGTCTCACGTAGTCCCTGGTGGCCTTGAACTCACGATGTAGTGAGGATGGACACTGAGCTCAAAGAGGGTGTTGGATTCCTTGGAGCTGCAATTACAGGCAGCTGCGAGATGTCTGACATGAGTGCTGTGAACCAATCTCGGGTCCTCTGGAAGAGCAAGTGCTCTTGACTACTGAACCATCTTTTTAGCCCCAGCAATATAGTTCTTAACTGAGCACACTGAGTAATGGGCCAACCCCTATGTGAATGTCTATAGGTCCCTCTGTCTAAAATACCCAAGGTCCTTTTGTATGAGGAAGGTGTTGCTTTGACAGTGATTCCCATAATCCTTTTGCCTTTGTAGGTAATAACTTTTTTTCCTTCTCTTTTATGTCTTGGCTGTATTTATTTTGGCTTTGCTCTAAAAAAAAATGTGAACTCATTGTATTTGGTTACAGAAAGCTTTTTATTAATTAGAATAAAATGGTTCTTGACCTCTTGTCAAGGATGCTGTCTTAGGGTTTCTATTGCTATGAAGAGACACCATATCCTTGGTAACTCTTTTAAAGGAAAACATTTAATTGGGGTGGCTGACTTACAGTTCAGAGGTTCAGTTTATTCTCATCATGTGGGACGTGGCAGAGTGCAGGAGACATAAGTAATGGAGCATAATGAGGAAATACTGGACCAAAGCAAACTCTGTTTCTCTGGCCTGTCCCTCATGAGTGCTGGGACTATAGGCTTTTACCATGCTACAGCCCAGCCCACTTAGGCAGTGCTGGGGTCACAACCCAGGACTTGGTCTGTGCTGGGTTCTCTGGCGGTGGAAGAAGCCCTGAGTGAGTGTGTGTTTTGACATGAGCAAAGCCTGTTGACTGAATGGCCATGGGACATAGGTGCCTCTGTTAGCCATGTAGGCCAGGCTAAAGGGGATGGCAAAGCTTTCCCCAGATGTTAGGAGTTGTAATACTTGGTTATGAAAGATTAATCAGTGTGTAATGAATAGTAACTGGGGTGTCCTCCACTTATCTTTAGTTTGAAACCGCTTACCTACTACAGCTACCCCTTCCCCCTGTGCTGTACCTAATAAATGCTCCGAGGTTCCAGGTTGTGGCAGTAGTACTAGGGAACCCTACCAGATCCTAGCTTCACTGAATGCATATCTATGTGTCTGTCCTTTATTTCCTCACTGCCCCAGCCAGGTTTCCAAGACTCAAGTCTTGAGTTGAGGTCAAGGCAAAGCTAGCTACATTTCTAGCCCACTTCTTTTTAAGGACAAATTTCTCAGCAGATCTATAATGCCTGGTTTACATGACATCTTGGAACCTGCAATAATTCTAGTAGTGACAGTATCACTATCTTATCCCTTCTTGGCATGGATGGTTGATTTGCTGCTGTTTGTACTTACTGTGCCTTCTTGGGGATCTTTCCTGACCTGGTTCATTCTCCCTTCATACTTCCTGCTAGCTAGGAACAGAAGTTTTCTTTGTTTTTGTTTTTTGTTTTTCAAGACATGGTTTCTCTGTGTAGCTTTGGTGCTGGTCTTGGAACTAGCTCTTGTAGACCAGGCTGGCTTTGAACTCACAGAGATCTCCCTGCCTCTGCGCTGGGATTAAAGATGTGTGCCATCACCGCCTGGCCTCAGTTAGAAGTTTTAAGGTAAGCAAGTTCCAGATTCTATGATGCTAATGAATATGATTTTTTTGCCACTAGAAAATTTTATCTCTGTATCAAAGAAATTGAGGAATCCCCCGCTCCTGCCGAAATGGCAGTCTTATATTGCAAGAGTGATGATAAAGTAGACTATGAACTTGTTTGTTTTTATTTTTTTGTGGGCCAAACAGAAACTCTTCTTCCCAGTTTCTGATCTACTAAGAAATGAAGGCTGCCTAACAAAGGGATCCTGGTCCCTCCTTGTAACCCAGTGAATGTTAGCAGTTCAGGAGCCTCACAGCCCTTTCAAAATATCTTGGACTGGGCATGGTGGCACAGGGTTGTAATCCCAGCACTCAGAGGCAGATTCTCTTGGAATTCAAGGCCAGCCTGGTCAAATTCCACATAGTGAGACAACATACAGAAACCCTGTTATTCTTGTATGTATGTATGTTATTTCTCTCATTCGGTATATCAAAAACTAAAATGCTATATTTCAGAGAACAATATAAGATAGGATTTATTCAACTAAATCTACTATAAGCATGTTATCTACGAAGTAAAAATTTTGATATTTGCTCTGTAAAAATAGTGGATTTTTCTTTTCTTTTTTTGTTTTGTTTTGTTTTGTTTTGTTTTGTTTTGTTTTGAGACAGGGCTTTTCTGAATAGCCCTAGCTGTCCTGGAACTCACTTTGTAGACCAGGCTGGCCTCAAACTCAAAGGTCCACCTGCCTCTGCTTCCCAAGTTCTGGAATTAAAGTTTTACACCACAACTACCTGGCTGTGGATTCTTTTAAATAGGATTTTGGGGGCAAAAGTATTAAAAGACATTTTAAATATATATTGTTTGCTTTGTGGCAGGTCTCTACATAGCCCTAGTTCTGGAACTCACTGTGTGGATCAGGAAGGTCTTAAACTCATAGATCCACTTGCCTCTGCCTCCTAAGTGTTGGGATTAAAAGTATGGCAGCACACCCAGTAAATATAGAGTGTAAGCATGAGGATTAATTAAGAAGAAGAGAGGCGCTCTGGAGAAAGTAATATACACCAGAGCACATGCTGTGGGTTTGTCTAAGAGAGTGCGCCCTACATATAATTCCTTTAACTTTGTGTTTAAGAATGACTTTGAAGTTCTGCTCCTCCTGCCTCCCCCTCCCGAGTCCTTGGATTATAGGCGGGCACCACCACACTAATTTTATGCAGATTTGGAGACTGAGCCCAGCATTGCGTGATAGAGAGGCACTCTACCCGCTGAACTACATCCCCAGACTTCTTTAACGTCTAATGCACTTTTTCTTTTTTCACTTAGGGAACTCAAATTTTTTTATCGCCGATCTTTACTTTGGATTCTACAAAAGAAACGATGCCTCCAGCAGCCCCTGAAGCCCAGGACTCCAATCAGTTATTAAACAGACTCCTGATTGAAAAACAGGTAAACTTAAAATAGTTTAGGTCACTGTTGCTCAAAGTACCAAAAGAATGCTAGGTGTACACATAGAAAATTCTGACATGTTTTTTTTTTTTGCATTTATTTATTTTTGTATATGGTATGTATAGATTAGAGGAAACCTTGCGGGAGTTAAGATTTTCTTTTTTTCCCTTGTGAACCTCAAGACCACACTTGGTCTGTCAGGCTTGGTAAACTCACTGAACTTCTTGTTGGCCTGAAATTCTGACTTTAAAGATTGGTTGGTGGGACTGTGAGATGGCTCAGTGGTTAAGAGGGTGTACTGTTCTTCTATAGGCCCTGAGTTCAAGTCCCAACACCCACATCATGCAGCTGCCAACTAATTGTAAGTTCGGCTCCAGGGAATTCAACCCCTCTTCTGGCCTCTGCAGGCACCTGCACTCACTTGAACATACACCCCTCACTCTACCCCACCCCCAAACAATACACAAGTACATATAGTTAAAGATGAATCATTTAAAAAATTGAATAAGTTACTGAAGAATTCGAGATTAAAGACTGTCAAGTATCTTTATTTCTTTAGCATCCTCAATTTTATCAGTCTCCAGAAAGATTTGACATATGGTCCCTGTGGAGGCCAGAGGCATCAGATCCCATCTAGAGCTGGAGTTACAGGCAGGTGAAGCACCTTGACATGGGTGCTGGATACAGAACTCAGGTCTTTAAGAGCAGAACAATATGTGCTCTTCACCACTGAACTGTCTCTCCAGGTCCCTATTTTCAGTGTGTATAAACTGTTACTTTATTCTTAGACACAGACTAGAGCTTGGAAGATGGCTTAGGTTTTTGTTTTTGTTTTTTTTTTTTTTTGGTTTTTCAAGACAGGGTTTCTCTGTGGCTTTGGAGCCTGTCTTGGAACTAGCTCTGTAGACCAGGCTGGTCTCGAACTCACAGAGATCCGCCTGCCTCTGCCTCCCAAGTGCTGGGATTTGGAACATGGCTTAGTGAGTAAGGTTGTTGGTTGTGTAAGCATGAAGACCTGCATTTAAAACCCCAGAACCCTGCGCAGTCTGGTCATGATATGGCATAGTCATATTTTTCTTTGGGCTGCCAGCTCACAAATAGTGACATGGAGACTTATTATTAATTATGAAAGCTTAACCTTAGTTTAGGCTTGTCACACTAGTTCTTATAGCTTAAATCAACCCATTTCTTTTAATCTGTGTTCTGTCACGTGGCTTGTTATCTCTTCGTACTGCCGGTGCTGCTTCCTGTCTGGCTGGCAACAACCTCTTCTTCCCAGAGTTCTCTCTCTTCCTGAAAGTCCCTCCTATACCTCCTGCCTAGGTATTGGCTGTTCAGTTTTTAAAAAATATTTTAATATTAGACAAAAAGGGGAAATGTACTGATATTTCATTTAAATTTTAATAAATAAAGCTTACCTGAAGGTCAGAGAATAAAACAGCCACACTGGTCAGCCTTCCAGACCAGGCAGTGGTAGCACACACCTTTAATCCCAGTAGCCACGCTAGTTTGCCATAGAAACTGGGTGGTAGTAGTGCATGCCTTTAATCCCAGCCCTAGAGATGAATATAAGACAGGAGGAGACAGCTCCTAGTCTCAGTCTCATTCTGAGATTCCTGGAGGCAGAATCACGATTTCAAACCGAGGTAGAGGTAAGAGCCAGTGGCTGGCTGTTTTGCTTTTCTCACCTTGAGGTTGAACTCCAATTTCTGTCTCTGGGTTTTTATTAGTCATATTACAGAGACCCACCTGCCTCTGCCTCCTGAGTGCTGGGATTAAAGGTAGGTGCCACCAAGCCTGGCTAAAAAAGATGAAATTCTTAAAAAATTGAACTTGAATAGAAATGAAACAACCTAAAAACCTTTAAAGGTGGAGCTGGAGAAATAGTTCAGTGGTTATGAGTGCTTACTGCCCTTGGAGAGGGCCCTGATGGAATACCCAGTGCCTATATCAGGTTGCTCACAACTGCCTGGCACTCCAGTTTCAGGAATCCAGTGCTGTCTTGGCTCTTCACCCATATGGTTTATATAAAACTTATTCAAGCACACACATACATAAAGTAAAAATAATAATCTAGTCTTTAAGAAAAACCTTTAGCCAGGTAGTAGTGTCGCAGAGGCAGGTAGATCTCTGTGAGTTCAAGGGCAGCCTGGTCTACAAAATGAGTTCCAGGACAGCGAGTGCCGTTACATAGAGAAGCCCTGTCTTGAAAAATCGAATCAAAACAAAACAAAACAAACAAACCCAAAACTTTAAAGATGTAAAACCAGGCTTTAAAAAAAGTTGTTACCCGTATGGTGCTCAAGAGCTGTCTATAACTCCAGATCCAGGGGAATCAACACTCTCTTCTGGCCTCTTCTGGCTTCAGGCACAGACATACATGGAGGCAAAACACCCATACACATACCAAAAAAAAAAAGAAGATATCTTTGTTAAAATAATAAAACTCCATATTGTATTGGCACTGAGTAGATTTTGGGTACCTGGCCAGTGGGCAAAAAACAAACAATTAAGATCTTCAGTTCCAGGCTCTTTGTGTGTTGTTCCTAGAATTTCCTATTCATCTTGTTGGGCGTCTAAGTCAGATGATGATAGAGATTATAAACCAGTATTTGCTCTGCTCTGCCTTGCTCAGCCTCAGGAGCGGACAGTCTCAGCTGTCCTGCCAGCTCCTTTTGTCTCCATGCTATTGTGCTGTTGTGGTTCAGAGTCATTTGGGCCTCTTGCCGAATGAAGTTGCTGTGTGTGATACCCATGTTGAGGTGACTGTTGACAGTAGGTCTCATCTCTTGGATTTTCCTTGTCTTTGTTGTCTTCTTCTCCATGCTGTCTATGGTGAAGAGAGCCCCCATAGAATCATGGTCTATGACCCCAGACATAGTTTTACTGGTCTGTCTTGCTCTCCTTAACCCTAAGTGTTAACAACCTCCCTCACTTTTCCCTGCACAGGAGGGTTTGGAATACTGTGGTTGATACCCATAGGATCTTGTGTAATGATATGGGACCCTTTACCTGGGGTAGGGCCTGAGTTGTTGGGCTTTCGGATCCCTTCATTTTTCCCCTCAAATCTCACTGTTCTGGTAATTGCATGGAGGATCCCCATGAGATGGATATTATCTATAATGGTTACTTCCTGTCTTGAACTGGAACTCCACAGGGCCTGTGACACCATCTGCTTCTACCACCCTTTTCTTAACAATATCAAACCTGAGTTTCTACTTCCAACACTTCTTGAAAGGTTCTTTTTGGGATGATTCTTCTTTCTGGCAGTCTGTTGATGAAACTATATCCATGTCTTACAGTGAGCTGATTTACCATCTCTTACTGCTGCATGCACAGCTGCCTATGGTGCCCAGCTTGGTGTCTGAGAGTGCAGAGGTAGAGGCAGCTGCAGGGTTTCTCTGTCTTGCTATTCAGGGTTGAGGTGATGGTGTTTGGGGCAGGCTCTGGCAGCTGTGATTCCTTTGAGGGCATGATGGTCAGGAGACTAGAGGCCTAGGTGTGGTTGCTCAGGGGTCCCTGGACTGCTATTACTGATTGTAATGGTTGGTCAAGTCAGCAGAGGACGTATATGAAATACTCAGGGTGTGAGGGCATTGAATGACGACTGTATGCTGTGTTCACAAATGCATTCTTTGCCTGCTCTGGGATTTGCGGATGGCACCTTCAGAAGCAAGCAAAGGGACTTCCCGAGGTGGCTCAAGCTTGTCTGAACTCATGGTAAGCAAGATGATTTCTAGGAACTATCCATGAAGTTTCTAACTATTACAGCCCAGCGAAGTACAGAACATTAATGGCAGGCTATGGGAGAAGAGAAGGCAGCACCAGCAGTGGCTCCTTCCAGTTGTGCTTGTTTTTAGTGGGCAAGGACTGGGGCTGGGGGGCAGGCTTAACTGAGCCCCTTCTGTCAAGTCACGAAAGGATTACTTAGATATTAAATTGTAGTGGAAACAAAATGGACTAAAAAGCCAATGTTATTCTGTGTGGAGATGGGAGGAGAGAAGGGGCACCCCTGAAGCAGAAAGGGCACAGCTAGGGACAGTTCTGTGACTGGGACCCAGCTGGTGACTCATGTTCCATTTTTGCTTTCTGAGTCTTTGTTTTCTTCCCTTTGGTATTTGATAACAGATTTCACCAGCTGTCTACCTTTTGTCTCTACTTTTCTCGTTTGTCTTTTTCTTGAGCTTCAGCCTCTGCTTGTGTCTTTGGCATCTTTGTCTTTCTTTTAATGTCCAGCTCAGCAAGCGGTTTCATGGTTTGTTTGTATGCTGCATTTGAACAGGTCCAGATCATCCTCTACATCTGTAGGCTTTCCTCCTTAACTGCTGCCTCTTGACAATGCCTTCTCTTCTGTCTGAATGACATCCAGGGTTCCCCTAGCCACTTGTCATCTTTGTCCACAGCTTCAAAAGCCTTCTGTGCACCAGCAGCAGCATCTCGACTTTAGTCAGGGTGTACCAGTACTATACAGCTGCTGAAACCTCTCTTTTATCTCTTAGTCTGCCACTTCAGGAATAGCTGGAAAATCTCAAATGGGTCCACATTAAAGAGAAACCTGCTCAACAGGGCAATCTTTCAGTTTGTTTTGGTTGTAGAACTTCTTTCTATTTGTTTAGCCTTACTGTAGAAGATCATACAAGCCTCCTCTCCTACCTGCCCAGAGCCCCACCCACCCCTTTGGAAGGTACCTTTATCTCTGAAGCTGCCATTTCCCAAGTCCAGCCTCTACATGACCTTGGTTTTCTTTTCTCATCCTTGTTAAAAGGATACTTGTTTCAGAGAGATTAGTTTTAGTTTTCAGTTGTTGTGTCCTTTGAGTATGACTTGACCTTATTCAATTAGACTTATCTGTTTCACTAAAATCACAAACTTTCTGTTGTTTTTGTTTTAATTTGCCCGTTAAAACTTACATGTGAATATTTTGTATGATGCAATAATTAAGTCATTCGCATACTTCTGTTGCTGATTTTAATAATAACAATAAATCTTTTAAAATTATAATTTGATCTAATCACAGCTTTATGTCTATCGTACTTGAAATGGTCCCATAAAATTTTATATTAAACCTAGGCATGATGTACATCTTTCATTTCAACACTTGGGAAGCAGAGGCAATCATAGCTCTTTAAGTTCAAGACTGGCCTGCTCTATATTGCTGGTTCTAGTCCAGCTAAGGTTACATAGTGAGACCCTGTCTGAAAAAATTATGAGACCATTTGAGCTCTTGCTGGTCTTCTACAGGACCCTAGTTTAGTTCACAGCATCCATGTCCTGTGGCTCACAATCACCTCAGACTCCAGGGGCTGACACTTTCTTCTGGTTTCTGCTGCACCTGAACTTAACATGCTGACATATACATACAGACAAGCAAGTGCATACATCTAAAAATAAAGTCTTTTGGAAGAAAGGCTCTTTTCTGAAAACATAGGAAAGTATATAAAAAGATTTTCTTCATATCTTAAGTTGTCCTTTTTTCTGTACTGTGAATGTAGCAGGAGGAAACAGAATGGGAAAGCATAAATGGGCTGTTGATGACACACGGCTTCAAACCTTTGTGTCTAGTCAAGAGAACCGACCTCAAAGGTAACTAGATCCTGCTCTTGCTCTGTTAGGTACAAAACTTTATTTTTCTTGGAAAAATGTTTATCTTAAAATGGTTTTACCTTCTCTCTGCTTTTACCATTTCTATATTAATATATGTATATATTACAATGTAGATCTCATCGTTTTTGACAAACAGTCATCACAAAGAATGAGGCAGAATTTGAAAATGTTGATGGAAGAAACAACACGTCAGCAGAACATGATCCGGGAGCTCATAGAGACGAACCAGCAGCTTAAGTAAGATGGTGGGAGTGCCCCTGGGCTTGTCTGCGTGCATTCCAAACATAACTCCCCTGAAGAGGATCCTGAAATTTCATTGCTCTTATTTTTTTTTTTAGATTTATTTTACTTCTTACGTGTATGAGTGTTTCTGTCAGCAGTGTATATAACTGTACCATGTGGGTGCCTGAACCCACAAGTTCAGAAGGTGGGGTGGGGGAAGAATCAGATCCCTGGAACTGTAGTTATAAACAACTATGAACCACCATGTGGGTGTTGGGAACTGAACCTGGGTCCTCTGAAAGAGCAGATAATGCTCTTAGCTGCTGAATCATCTCTCCAGCCCCCTGAAATTTCATTTTTATTAAATGTAAAACATAAAAATATTTTTACAAGTAAGTGAGCAAAAATTAAGCAGATGACTTTCAGTAGTACTTAGCATTGATATGTAATGTTACCCTCTATTTCTTCTATTACTTTCTCTTATGAGGAAGACGAGATTGGGTGTGTCAGGCATGGCTACAGACTGTTATAAGAAGTGTTGAGACTGGAGTACAGTTCAGTGCTAATTATGCTATTTTTTGATTCTCAGCACCAAAGCAAAGTAAAAAATGTTAAGAATGTGGAGACATTTTGGAAAGTAATCTGTTATACAGAATGTATATATACGATCTGATTTAACACTGAGGAAAGGAATTGTGTCTCTTAATTAGAAGTGAACTTCATCTAGAACAGAACCGAGCGGCACACCAGGAACAACGAGCCAATGACCTGGAGCAGATTATGGACAGTGTGAAATCCAAAATTGGTGAATTAGAAGACGAGTCCCTAAACAGGGTTTGCCAGCAACAAAATAGAATAAAAGATCTTCAGAAGGAGCAGAAACTGTTGCAGGTATTGTATTGACTTAGATATTTTCTTATTTGATGGTTAATACTGAAAGTTCTTTATAGTCCCAGGTCATTTCCATGTCACTTCATGTCTGTGGCAAAGGTCAAGGAATCCAAATGCTTGAGGTTACATTGTTAGAGGAAACAACTTATATTAGCATAGGGTGGTAATGTTGATAGGTGATCTTTTCTACTCAGCACCTCATTTTGAGATTCACCTATGAGGTTGCATGTTATAGTTTGATGAGTATCCCTAAAAGATGCACTGTGTGTGTGTGTGTCTGTGAATATATGCCACATATGTATGGGTGCCTTTGGAGACCAGAGAGGATGTTAGGGCCCCTGGAGTTGGAGTTAGAGAAGCTTGTGAGCTGCTGGATGTGGGTGCTGGGAACTGAATTCACATCCTCTGGATGAACAGGAAGTGCTCTTAACTACCGAGCCCTTCAGCATCTTATACTGCACTATTCATAGCTCATTGTGCCCGCACAGGGATTTTCCTAGATTTGCAATGTCTAGCAGTCCACTTTATAGCAACCATAGCTCCATGTTTAGAGACAAGTGTCCTCTATATAGGTAACAATGCCAGAATAGATATCTCGTATTGCCCTGTAATGAACTCAGATTTCATTGTAAATGCCTCATAATCTCTATGTATATCCCATAATGAATATTGTATAAGACCTAGTTATCTACAAAGAAATCCTAGTACAATGTATATTTTATAATGTCATAATACCCAGCATACAACTCTGTTGCCCTGCACACAGTTCACAGTGCCTTCATATAGCTCATAATGCTCTGTCTGGAGTTTACAGTATTCTATATAGATTTCATAGTGTACCTGTATGTGGGGTATTTTCTTAATTAGTGATTATGTAGGAGGCCTAATCCCGTTGTTGGTGAGGCCACCCTTGGGCTCATTTTCCTGGGTAAGAAAACCCGATTGAGCCAGCCATGGGGAGCAAACTAGTAAGCAGAAACTCTCCATGGCCTCAGCATCAATTCCTGCCTCGAGGTTGCTGCCCTGTTTGATTTCCTGTCCTGACTGCCTTCAGTGATAGATTATGATATAGGAATAAGTCAAATAAACCCTTACCTCTCCAAGCTGTTTTTGTCATGGTGCTTCATCACACCAGTAGTTACCCTAACTACGACAATAGAGCTTACTGGAAGCCTGTATAGATCTCATAATTCAGCTGATGGAGTTTGGAGTACTCTATATAAAGTGCATAGTGCCATGCAGAACCTATAGTGCACTTCTGTTGATTGTATCATGTGCCCCAGGTTGAGCTCATACTACAACTGCAGGAAGTTTGGAGTACACCTTTCTTAGTGTCCATGCTGCCATATTTAGAGGTCGTAGGACTTGTGGAGAGCTCCTGGAGCTCTGTGGAACTCATAGTTGACTTGGGTAGAACATCCATTTCAGACTTCATCTTGTACATAAAGAATTTTTAGTTTTGTTTGTTTGTTTGTTTGTTTTGCTTTGGTTTCAGTTTTTTGAGACAGGGTTTCTCTGTGTAGCTTTTGAGCCTGTCCTGAAACTTGCTCTGTAGACCAGGCTGGCCTTGAATTCTTAGAGATCCACCCGACTCTGCCTCTCAAATGCTGGATTAAAGGCATGCACAACCACTGTCTGGCAGTATTCTTTTTATAGTCCTTAAAGATTATTATAGACCTCATAGGACTCTGCATGGAGCTAGGACTGACTTGTGCAGATCTCATCATGCCTTGTCTTTTTCTCATAGTGTCTAGAGCGCCATGCCATGATAGTGACTTGTGCAGAATTCAGTGTATCTCCACTGAATTCCTAACACACATGAATAGAGCTCATAAAGCATCTATTTAGACTTCATAATCCCAAGTACATATCTTATGGTACACACACACCCATTACTCCCTCTATGTGTGAGAGAGTTGTATTGAATTCATAGTGTATCTGTATAGCTCATAATTTCCTTTATAAAGCTCATAGTGTACCTCTGTATAGCTCAAGGTGCTCTTGATTAAAGGACATGTAGTTGGAGGCTGCTTGTTTGTTTCCCAGCTACCTAGACTTCTGAAATAACCACATAGAAACTGTATTAATTAAATCACTGCTTGGCCCATTACCTCAAGCTTCTTATTGGCTAGCTCTTACATATTAATTTAACCCATCTCTATTAATCTGTGTATCGCCACAAGGCTGTGGCTTGCTGGGTAAAGCTCTAGCATCTGTCTCCAGCGGGGCTACATGGCTTCTCCCTGCCCCCGCCTTCTTTCTCCCAGCATTCAGTTTAGTTTTCCCTGCCTAGCTCTGCTCTACCATATCATAGGCCCAAAATAGCTTCTTTATTAACCAGTAGTATTCACAGCATACAGAGGGGAATCCCACATCACAGATTTAAATCTGTTTAAATAAAAAGGAAGGTTTTAATTTTAACATAGTAAAATTACATATACAAAATAGGTATAAAGCAAAAATTACAGTTCCTACATTTATATCTACTTTATCTCTTATCATAACTAAGGGAAACTATAACTATTCTTCAACTCCATCAAAGACTCCAGAAGGATATAATATTACCTAAATAAACAGGAAGTACATTGTAAGCAACTTCCAAAACTGTAGAATTGACAGAGACATCTTGCTGATTGGACAGTCACCCAAAGTTCTACTGTACATCTTCAGCCTACAGGCCCATAGCATCCAACTGACTTTTTCATGAAACAGGAAATTTCAAAGACAGTTTCGCCTATATTGGCAGTTTGCCAGTCACTTTCTTCTGTGTCCTGCAGAATGTCTGGCAGTCTCTTTCATGAAGCAGGAACCCTGAAGGACCGTCTCACCTTTAGGCAAGTTCAGGTTTTATGTGGATTTAGTCAGTCCCATGCTGGTACACCAATTTGTAGTAGGAGGCCACTCATTTGTTTCCCAGCTGCCCAGACTCCCGAAATAACCACACAGAAATTGTATTAATTAAATCACTGCTTGGTCCATTAGCTCAAGCGTCTTATCGGCTAGTGCTTACATATTAACTTAACCCATCTCTATTAATCTGTGTATCACCACAAGGCTATGGCTGACCAGGTAAAGTTCATCTGCCTCCAGCGGGGCTACGTGGCTTCTCCTTCCCTCCCATAAGGACATATATCTGTAAGCTCATACTGTCCTTTATGGACTCCAGCTGCCCTAACATGGCTCTCTGTGCCTATTTTTATAGAGCTCACAGTGCTCATGGTTTTAGAGCTCATATGGAAGGAAGCAGTGTAGATCATAATGCACCTTCGTGTCAGCTTACATTGGTCTGGACAGACTTCACAGTCTGCTCTATAGGACTCAGTGCACTTATATGCAGCACACAGTGTTGACAGAAATCTCATATTGCATGCATTTTCATCCCCTGGGGCACTTTATAGAGGTAATAATGCCTTTCATAAAGTTCATGATGTTTTACACATAAATTACAGTGCCCTGGGCACATCTAATGCTGCCCTGCTTAGAGCTCACAGTTTCCTATACAAAGCTCATCTCATATGGAGTCATAATGCTCATGAATAGAGATCCTTTTCCATCTGTTGAAAGCTCATGTTGGAAATTTTATTGAATCCATGATGTCCTATGTAGAAATTATAGTGCTCATTATTGATCTCAGTGCCTCATACAGAGGTTTAAGTTGCCTGTCTAGATACGATTTTTTTCTTTATGTGGTTATATTGCCTATATATAATAAAGCTGTTGAGCAGTTAATACTGAATTCTGTGCAGAGCATAGGTTACCCAGCCTTTGAGCCTCCGGGAATTCTTCTGTCTGTTTCCCATTTTGCCATACGAATGGCAGAAGTGTCGGTGAGTGCTGCTGCACCTGGCTTCGTGCAGGCTTGGGGACCCAGAATGCAGGCAGATGCATTGTTTGCCCACTGAGCTTCTCCTCAGCCATATAATGAAAACTAAAACACTGAAAAGAGAAACTGAAGAACACACTAGATGATGGAAGGACTTTCTGTTCAGTTTATGGGTTGTCAGGACTAGAATGTGGCTCTATTACCAGAAGCAATTTCTTTATCACCATCAAATTCTAATGACAGTCTTCACAGATTTGAATAAACAGTCCTAATATGCATATAGTAGCACAAAAGACCCTTGATAGTAAAAGCAATTCTGATTGCAAAATAATAATGCTGACGATTTGTTTTCAAGTTATAATTACAAAACTATAGTAACAAAAACAGTTTGATACTGTCACAAAAGTATGTGTACCAATGGAATAGAATAGACAACCCAGAAATATAAACTTATCATATACCCAATTGAATTTTGAGCAAATATGCCAGTTACATACATTGGAAAAAGAGATAGCGTCTTCAACATAGTACAGGATGACATGATATTCATATGTAGAAGAATGATACTAGATCCTCATCTCTTACCCCATACAAAAGTCAATTCAAAAATGAATCAAAGACTTTAATAATCTAAATTGAAACTGTTAGAAAAAAGAACCCTCTTAAAAGTATAGACACAGGCAGTAGCTTTCTGAAAAGGACTCCAAAAGCTCAGGAAATATAAGCAAGACTCTGCAGATAGAATTGTGTGGATTTTAAAAGCTTCTGCATGGGAAGGGAACCAACAGGGTGAAGAGACAACCAATAGAAGGGAAGAAAACTTGCTTGCTGTGAATTACTATTTGAAATATATAGGGACTCAGGAAGGAATGATGTCACATGTCTTTAATCCCAGCATTCAGGAGGCAGAGGCGGGAGGATCTCTGTGAGTTCCAGGCTAGCCAAGGCTGCATAGTGAGAGCCTGTCTCAAAAAAGCAACACAAAACACAAGCCCAAACAGTCTAAATCAGTTGATAAATAGGCTAATTAATGAACAGACTGTTCTATAAAGATTGAAATACCAGTGACCCATAAATACACAAATAATGATCAACACCCGTAGCAAACAGGGAAATGCAAAATTAAAACTACATTGCGATTCTGTCTCACCCTAGTCACAATGCCTATCATTAGAACAAAAAGTAACAACAAATGATGATGAGGACTTTAGAAGAAAGAGAACCCTTACTCAAGGGAGTATATGTTAGTTCAGCCACTATAGAAATCAGTGTGGAGGTTTTCTCAAAAAAACTAAAACTAGGGGCTGGAGAGATGGCTCAGTGGTTAAGAGCATTGCCTGCTCTTCCAAAGGTCCTGAGTTCAATTCCCAGCAACCACATGGTGGCTCACAACCATCTGTAAAGAGGTCTGGCGCCCTCTTCTGGCCTTCAGGCATACAGACAGAATATTGTATACATAATAAATAAATTAAAAAAAAAAAACTAAAACTAGCACTATCTTATGACAAAATTATACCCTTCCTGGGTATATACTCCAAAGATGTGTGTGTGCGTGCATGCACATGTATGCACACACGAATGCATCTTGAAAGTTGTAGCCAGACTGGGAGAATAAAGAGCAGTGGGGAAGAGGAAAAATAAAGATAGAGAGGTGCACATGGTCAAAATACATGGGATCCAAAAATATTCTTGTGAATCTTCTCACTGTGTGTAATTAAAAAAAAAATCAACCTTAATGTTTGCTTCTAGATTTTTAACTAATTTGCATATTGAGGGGAGGCTGGCACCCTCATCACTTAGCTGTAGAGGTCTGGTTTCATGGAGGACCAAGGCAAAGGATGGATTACTGCATATTTCATGTTCACTAGGAGATGGGATGTTACCAGCAACTAAGACTATTTTCTCTTGAAGGTTGTTAAGTTTCAATAAATTTGACATTTTTACAGATGACCATGTGCTTAGCTGTGAATGTATGTTCTGTCTTTTTTTTTTTTTATAAATCTAAGGCACATACTAATTATGAACCTATTCTGAATTTATAGTCTCCCCTATAGCCTGGATGTTCAAACTGACTACCTTATTTGTAATCCATAAATCATTTAAAAAATAATAATTTTCCATTGTAGTTCTTTATTTCTCTCTCTGGTTTTTGAGACAGGGTTTCTCTGTGTAATATTTCTGGCTGTCCTAGAACTCACTCTGTAGACCAGGCTGGTCTTGAGTTCATAGAGATCCACCTGCCTCTGCCTCCCAAGTGCTGGGATTAAAGTTGTGCCCTACCACCATCCAGCTGTTCTGTGGTTCTTTTAAAATATTTTAAAATATAATTTTTTCTGATTATTATTTTTATCTCAGTTTAAATATAAGGTGGGCATGGTAATACATTCCTGTTGACTCCAGAAATTAGATGGCTAATAAAATAGGATTGCAAGCTGGAAGCCAGCCTGGACTATGAAGAAACCTGGTCTCATAAAACCATTGAAATATAAATTTATATTGGTTTTATAGAGATTTTTAAAATCCTTATTATGAAATCTTGAATGCATGTAGTTGTCATAGTTTCCTCATTTTATAGGTTTTCACATTTGTGAGATATTAATATTCCTTACATCAGTTTTTTAACAGCCTTGATGGAGATGGTGACACAGTATTGATAGAATGTATGTCCTACATGAATAAATATAATTATAGATTTACAATCTTCTTACAGATGAGATGCCAGCACTATAAGAAAAAACGAATGGAACAAGAAGAGACCATTGCTTCTTTGCAAAAGAATATCTACAGATTAACTAAAGAGGAAGAAGAGCGTGTTATTACTCAAAACAGAGTGTTTGCCCATCTCTGCAAGAGAGTTCCTCATACAGTCTTGGATAAACAGTAATGCCTAGTACATAGGGTGATAATGGAACTGGGTTGATTACTTTTCAGCTGATTTTATTTTGACAGTGGTTTTATCTTTTGCTAGAGAAGTCCTTTTTTGTTTTGTTTTGTTTCATTTTTTGTTTTTTTTTTTTTTTCGAGACAGGGTTTCTCTGTAGTTTGGGGGCCTGTCCTGGAACTAGCTCTTGTAGACCAGGCTGGCCTCAAGTGCTGGGATTAAAGGCATGCACCACCACCACCAGAAACCCTGTCTTGAAAAACTATACACATATATGTGTATGTATATATATGACTTGTTTCTGGCAAGAATGATTGAAAAATCTTAAGTTTGCCATACAGTCTGTACTTACTTTTTAAAAGATTTTATTTTCAATAATGTGTTTATGGGCTTGTGATTGCAGATACTGCCAGAGGCATTGAAAGCCTCTGGAGCTGGAGTTATAGAGGGTGCTGGGAACTGAACTTGGGTCCTCTCAACAGCAGTATACACTTTATTTATTTACTTAGTTAGTTAGTTAATTAGATAGTTAGTTAGTTTTTTAGGACTGAAAAGATGGCTCAGAGGTTGGGAGTACTTACTGTTCTTGCAGAGAGCCTGGTTTCTCTTTCCAGCACCCAAATGGTAGATCACAATCATCTAGCTCCAGGGGATCAGGTACCCTCTTCTGGCCTCCTTCGGCACTTGAACACAAATTGTGTACACACACACACACACACACACACACACACACACACACGTACATCTTTTGTTTTGTTTTTGAGACAGGGTTTCTCTGTTGTAACCTCCTTTACTGTCCTGGAACTCACTCTGGAGACCAGACTGGCCTCAAATTCACATAGATTCATCTGCCTCTGCCTCCCAAGTACTGGGATTATAGTCATGTGCCACCATTACCCGGCTAATCTTAAAATTTTTTCCATGTATGAGTATTTTGCCTATATGCACGTGTATGTAGTGATGTGAGTCTGGTACCTGTGGAGGCCATCAGAAAGTGTTTGATGTCCTGGAATGGAGTTGTGGATGATTGTAAGCCACCATGTAGGTACTAGACATCAAAGCTGGTCTTGTAAAAGAACAGCCATCGATCTAAACCACTGAGCAATCTCTCCAGCCCTGCAGTGTGTTCTCTTAACTGCTAAGTAATCTCTCTATCTCTAGTCTGTGCTTCCTTTTGTCATAATAACTTGAAATTATGTGAAAGAATAGCAGATACTACGTTTTGAAAATAATTGAATATATCTTTTGTTTTCCAGATTGCTTTGTCTAATTGATTACTATGAATCTAAACTTCGAAAACTCCGTACACAGAGGTATAAATAATATAATTTTAAAGTAATTCGTGATAAATATTATCCAGGAACAAGTTAAGTTTCTATAGCTTTTGAGACTTTATATTCTGGAAGTCTATATATCATTATGAAATTCTTTTTCAAATATAATATTTTTATCCTTCAAGAATTTCATGTATGCATACTGTCTTAGGGTTTCTGTTGCCGTGAAGAGACACCATGACCATGGTAACTCTTATAAGGAAAACATTTCATTGAAGTGGCAGTTTACAGTTTCAGAGATTCAGTTTATCATCATTGTGGTGGGGAGCATGGCAGCATGCAGGCAGACTTGGTGCTGGCTACATCTTGACCAGAAGACAACAGGAAAGCAAATAGACAATGGGAGTATTTTGAGCATAGGAGAACTCAAAGGCCCACCCCACAGTGACACACTTCCTCCAACAAGATCACACCTACTCCATCAAGCCACAACAAGTGCTACTCCCTTTGGGGGTCATTTCTTTCAAACCACCATATACAGTGTACTTATTTGCATACAGTATATTTTGGAAATATTTACTCTCCATTTCTGACCAACAAATTTTAGTGCCCCTTCTTCACAACTTCATGTTGAGCTTCTTTTAATAAAGATCTATAAGATTGCATTTTACTGCTTAGGTAAAAGTAAGTATTATTTCCTTTTATTTGTTGATGCATTATGTTATTATGTTTGATTTCTAGTAGTGATGTGGTGACAATCATCCACAACTCCATTACAGGAGATCAAACATAATTTTAGCCACTGGAGAGCAAGTGTGTTCATAACATATATGGACATGTAGTACATTGGCTGTGGGGCAGAGTAAGACCTCGCTATGCAAATTTAAATATATCAAAGATAGAATGTCAGTGAAAAAATGGCATCTAGCTAGGTGTGGTAGTTCTTGCCTATGTTCCCAGCTTCCTGTAGCCAAGGTAGAGGTTGGAACATTGAGGAAGTAAAGGAAAGGATAGCCACGAGTTGAGGCTAGCCTGGGCTACATAGTTAATCCTCAACTGGCTTGAGTAAGAGTGAGACCCTGTCCTGATACTGTACTTGGGAAGAATGTGTGTTAATGCCTGTGTAAGTCAGTGTCAGGCATGGTGGTGTGTACTAAAATTGTGAGGCAGGTGGGACAATGCCTGAGACAGAAGGAGAGAGCAGTAAAAGGGAGAAGAACGGCTTTGCAGATAGACTGCAGAGTTTTCAAAGACATGAGAAAGGATTTTTAAGTTAGATGAATACACCAGCAGGAAGAGTGGATGTAGTCAGGAATGTTACGTGACTGAAGACGTCCGAAGCACAGGGTAGGTGGAGTATGCTCCGTACTCTGTATTGTTACCCTTTACATGCTACACTGTTTCTTGATTATTTCTATGAATTGAAAGTACTAGAAGGAATAAACAGTATGCACATAGTGTATGTTTTTAAAGACCAGGAATGTTCTGTTTGTGTTTTGTTTGTTCATTCAACAAGTATTTTTCATCCCCTTTGTGTCCCATGACAAAGTTTTCTGGTCTTCATGCATTCTAGGTAAAAGAGTTAGTAAAAAGAATGCCCTAAGGTTAGGTGGTCCTGTGCTATGATACTATTCACTGTAGAACAAGTAGGAAATTGGGATATTTAAGTCATGTTTAAATTATTAAGCCCTGATTAGATTGACTTAATCTTTGCTAGCTGAATGTTTTCTTTAGGGATGTATTTCCGTAAGATGCAGTGTGTTGTCTTCTCACAGGCAGTGTAAAGAGGACGACAGTCAGGCAGAAGAGGAAAAAGGCTACAGAAGCCTGGATGCCTCACCAAGTTACAAAGGCCTTCTGATGGTATGGGGGTCAGAGAACTAATCAATGCCTTTCTATAAAGCAAAGCAACCCCCTAGCAGAGTTACTTATTTTACTGTGAAATGCATTGCAGTCATTACAGAATCAACTCAAGGAATCAAAATCCAGGATTGATGTACTGTTAGGTGAAAAGCTGAGTCTCCAAAAAGATCTGGAAAACAGGTGAGAAAAACTTAATTTTTCTTTAGCTTTTAGGTTGTTAAACAAATCATTCTTGCCCTCTTACTCTAGAACTTAATCCAAGTGCTTGACATGTTGTACTCCTTCTGGTTGGTTGTGTTTCATTGTGAATGATGAAAAGAATAAGACTCCTTAGGCAAGCAATGGAAGTGAGAAAATAGCAATCCATGCTGAGGGTAAACTGAGTAAGAACTTTGAGGAGATTCAGAGCTTTCTTGTGTTTGTGTGTTTATATGTGTAGGAACAAATGTGTGTGCAGTTGAGTGTGCACATCTGTGCTCATGCATGTGGAAACTAGAGGTCAGCCTCAGATGTCATTCCTTGGGATCTGTCCACCTTGTTTTATGAGACAGGATCTCTCCTTGAGACCTGCCTGAAGCATGCCAATTAGGGTGCCTGGCCAGTGAGCCCAAGGTATCTGCCTGTGTTCAGCACCCCTTTCCCAGTGCTAGGATAGGAAATGTGCACCCCCTATGCCTTTTTAGGTTCTTGAATCTGAACTCTGGTCTTCATATTTGCATGCCAAGCCCTTTACCAGACTTAGATGTCTCCCCAAGCCCAGGTTCAGTCTTCATTTTGTTTTTCTTTTATAGTTAACTTTAGTGAGAGTTGGAGAGTTTGTCCCTTTGGAAAACTGCCTGCTGTGCAAGCATGTGAGGACTCAAGTTCAGATCTCCAGCACTCATGTGAAAAGCCAAACCAGTTGTAGCAGTGTGTATCGTTAATTGCAGCGTTGGAAGAAGGCGTGAAGACAGGCAGATTCCTGGAGCTCATTGGCTGGCCAGCCAGCCTAGACAGTTGATGAGCTCTAAGTCCAGTGAGAGAACCTCTGACAAAAATAAGAACTTAGCTGCGTGCTTGGGAAGAATGTACTGTACATTTAGGATAGTAGTTATCTGTGATATGAGAGAGTCTTAGCTAGTGTTTCTATTGCTGTATTATAATACATGACCAAAAGCAACTTTGGGAGGAAAGGGTTAGTTTCATTTTACAATTTATAGTCCGTCATCCAGTGAAGTCAGGGCAAAAACTTTGATAGTACTGAACTGAAGTAGAGGCCATGGAGTTTTGTTCCTCGTGGCTCGCTTAGACTTTTCTTATACCATCCAGGACGTTAGGCCAGATATGGGCTGGGCCCTCCCACATCAATCATTAATCCAGACAGTACTCCAGAGTCTTGCCTACAGGCCAGTCTTATTGAGGCATTTTCCGATTTAAGATTCCGTCTTCTCAGATATATCTAGGTTTGTGTCAAATTTGACAAAAACTATCCATTTTTTTTTACTGTAAACAAGTTACATAATAGCACAGAAGTAAATAAAGATGTTAAATAAGAAATTATACAAGATAGATCAAAATGTCTAGTAAACGCCTAAGAATTAAGGATTTTAAATAAGGGGTTGGGGAGATGGCTCAGCAGATAGGATCGCTGGCTGCTTTCCAGAGATCCAGTGTTTGATTCTTAGAACCCACATGGTGGCTCACAACCATCTGTACTCTAGTTCCGAGGATCCAGTGCTGCCTTCTGGCATCTACAGACAACACACACACACAACACACACACACATACACAGGCAAAACGCCCATACACATAGAATTTAATTTAAAAATAATTTTAATGTTTATTAATAATATAACAAGATATATTTTTGTTTACTAAGTAATTTTGTCCTTTACAATAAATTTAATGTATTCATCTTGATTTTTTTTTTACAGACCCACAGAACATGAATTAAGACTTTATAAACAACAAGTGAAGAAACTGGAAAAAGCCCTTAAGAAAAACATCAAGTAATTACATTTTGTCAAAGTTATAGCTTATAGCTGCGTCCTGTATTTTATTATTTGTTTTTTATATCTATCAGCTGTTGTATGTTGTTATACAGCCTTGGCATGGAGTTGCCAAGTTGCTGAGAGATGTGACTTTACAACTATTTTTGCGCCAGACATGCTAACAGAAACCTATAAATCCTGGCACTGTGGAGGCTGGACAGAAGGATCACTACTAAAAAGCTAGCCTGGGCAATATAGGAAAGCTTTGTCTCAAAAAACAATAGTATAGAATAAAGATGGATGTTTCAGATTCTAAAAGCTTAAAAGCAATTTGGATTTGGCTTTATTTTTATTTTATATATTCTTGAGAATTTCATGCATTCAGATAATTATATGCATCATTCCTTCTCTATAACTCACTTCTTTTTAACGTACCCCCCAAGTAACTTTATGCTTTAAAAAGAATAACCCTCTATGCCACCCATATGTGCATGGGTTTGGTTTGTCCACTGAAGCCTGGGGATCTTGTTGGTGTCTACATCCTCAAAAGGAATGATTCTCTCTCACAGAACTTAGCCAAAAAACTTAGCCAACAGTAACAGTAAGAGTGGGGCCTGGATGTCCTCCAGCCTGTCTGTGCTGGACTTTTGTCTGGCTTTATTTTATCACTACAGTGTTGTGAGTCCATGGCTGTGATTGCCTCGTCCCGAGTACAGTATTTCAGAACACCCTCCATCATTGGCTGGCTCTCTCGTTCTTTCTGCCTTGACATGGGGGTGTGTAATAGGACTGAGAACTAGTCTCTTATTCTCAGCACTTTGACCAGTTACTTTTCTCTCCGCTGACTGCTGCCCACTGCCAAAAGAAACTTTGATCAAAGCTGAGAGCATCTCAAGTTTATAGATATAAACATAGATGTTTAGATAGCATTTTGAAAACAATATCATTTATCAAAATAACAATGATAGGTTCTACCCTAAGGCCTGTGACTCCTGACTCATGGACATTTTTGTTTTGTTTTTCAAGACAGGGTTTCTTTGTGTAACAACTCTAGCTGTCCTGGAACTAGCTCTGTAGATCAGGCTGGCTTTAAACTCACAGAGATCTACCTGCTTCTGCCTCCTGAGTGGTGGGATTAAAGGTATGCTTTACCACCACCCAGCTGAGTCATGGACTTTTGACAAGGATTAAAGTACCAGACATGAAGTTCCCTCTTGTGGAACAGGCCTCAGATCCAGCCAGAAGGCTGTTGGACTAACAAGCTTATCTTGCCTGGTAGGTCAGTGCTGCAGCATTCAGGGTCCAGCACTGCTTAGACTGTTGATATCTTTTCTCTTTCAGAAGCCTACATAGCCCCTCTGGCACTATGAAAGCTAGCCAGCATTAGGAGGTTTCTTGGTTGGTCTGAGATCTATTTCTGTATGTCCTGCAGCCAAAGTGTATTGTATCTTTAACAGTAGCATTTATAGGGTTGTATCAAATAGTTTGTGGGTAGCCAGGGGCTATGAGAATAGCCTGTGTTGTTTTGGAGACCTCAGGGGCCTCCCTGACCTTTAATTCCTAGAAAGTATCCTATGTCTTACACCCATGTATTCCAGGAGTGGCATTGTCCACCCATGCAGGGTATTTCCATTAAAAATATTTTTAACTTGTAATTTCAAACCAGCTAGTGGGCTTCTATAAGACTTTTACATACAGATTTAGTTTTAGTTGACTTGTTCTCTCTTTAACCCCACCCCATCCTCACGTGACCCCTTAACACTCAGTAATTCCTCTTCTTTTATTTCATATGTAATTCTTCTCTCCCTCCAATTCTAAAAGCTGGGCTTCCATGTGGGTCTTCATGTAATCTATCCTTTCTACCTCCTTGCTTCTCCCATAATGTGTGCCCCTCCCTGATTAAGCCTGTATGTTACCATTATTCCACCTCTCGACTTTTGTTGTTGGTTTTTTTTTTTTTTTTGGTTTTTCGAGACAGGGTTTCTCTGTGGTTTTGGAGCCTGTCCTGGAACTAGCTCTTGTAGACCAGGCTGGTCTCAAACTCTCAGAGATCCGCCTGCCTCTGCCTCCCGAGTGCTGGGATTAAAGGCGTGCGCCACCACCGCCCAGCTACCTCTCGACTTTTGTTTTACCTATGATCTGCTGGCCCCTTTCCTTTAGTGTGTTACCTTCATAAAGCACCTTTCTGTTCTCTGACTTCCACTTATGTTCCAAGCTGAATACACAAAAGATTTGAAGATAGAAACTGCATATGAGACAGTGCATATAATGTTGGTCTTTCTGGGCCTGGAGTTGGCTTTATATTCATCTCAATTTAATAAATAAAGAGTAGCAAGAAAAGAAAATATTTTAATGGAAAATTATCTCTAGAAATCGAAGAAGTGCAAAAGAAACAATGAAACTGCAGATAGCAGATCCTATATTTCTATTTTAGCTAGTCACAATCTGAACATTTTTATGTTAATTTTTGTGCTAAAGATTGAATTTAGGTCTTGATCATTCTAGAGTAAGAGCTGTTCCACTGAGTGAGGGTTGAGCATGCTAGGGTTAGTGCTATTCCACTGAGTGTCTCCCCAGCACGATCTAAAAGTTTTAGTGAGTTTTGTTACTTAAAAACTAAAAGTGTCAAAAAACACCCAGTGAGTCAGTCCTATCTACCACCTTTAACTCCTTCCCCTGTTTTGAGACGTGAGGTCTCGGGGGTATTTTTAAAATGATGATTTCAAGTATTGATGCTACTTCCTTAAGATTATCTATGTGTATTCTTTGATTCAAAAGACTAGAACTTGAGAAAATAATTTGTGGAGCTTTGGAATGGATTATTTTGAAAACTGTTAGTGTATGCATTATATGTGTGTGTGTGTGTGTGTGTATTAATTCACTTGTGTTATTAGTGTATATTGTTTCAGTTTTCAGTGGTAGTTGCTCTTTTCTCCTCCCCATGGCATCACTGTCATAGTGGAAAGACAAACAAGGACAAGGGGGGATTCATTGGGCATCTACTTACATTAAGGTTGGGGAGAAAAATTGAACTAAGAAGTCTAGGGAAAAGTTTGCAAAAGTTGCATTTATTCAGTGAATAACCTCCTGTTGGGCAATCTGGTTCCCAGTAGTACTTCCTAGTATCTATGAGGCATTCTGACACTGGGGTTGCAATGATAAGCCAAATAGAAAAGGTCCCTGACCTCATCAAGATGGCATGAAGGGAGGAGGGTCATGAAAGAATAAGACAATTTCAATATAGCATAAATATAATAATAAGGGATGATGATAAGGACTAGTGGGATGGTTCAGTGGGTAGAAGCACCACAAATCTTGTTATGGTGTATAGTGGTCGAGTTCTCTTATCACCAATTAAATAATTAAAAGGCAGTAAAGGATTCAAAGTATAGCAGAGCTAATGTTTTAATCAAAGCAAAAGTAGCAGGTGAGAACAGACTCTTGAAAAGGAGGGGCCCTGGAGTCTGGAGTCTACAGGTTATCTTTGGACAGTGTTTTCTTTATATTGAGTCAATTAGCACCTCCATTACCAGCTTTACTGGAGGTCTCTGACAACATAACAGCTCAGGGATTGGGTGATAGGCTTCCATTAGTTGGGGGTCTGGATCCATGAAGTATCGAGACATTGTCCATGTGCCTTATACTCTCTGCACACAAGTGCCTTTTCTCGGATGTGAGGTGTGCTGCAATAGAAAAGCTGATTTTTGGTTGCCCTTCCTCTACTATATCCAACATCCATTTTAGAATATGCCAATTTGACATTATCTAGGGCTCCTCCCCCCTCAGTATCTGCCTAACAACTCTTACTTTCTTTCATTACTCCCTCTCAGGAGATAACCCCAACTGCCATCAGGGGATTGGGTCCATGATTGGTCAGTTGCTCTTTGCTGCTTCCTGCTGACTGGATGGGTGGAGTTATAAAACAGCAGTCAGGGTCCCCCCAGAGGAGGTCTGTCTAGTAACCCATAGCAGGAAGTTCAATGCGGTGGTGGATTGACTGGCCTGTGGTTGTAGTTCCTGGTGGTGATAGCTTTCTTTCGTTGTCCTGTGTTTCTGATACTCGTGGTGGCATCTAAAACAGATATTAAATAAAATTAAGAGCATGATAATGAAGGTGGTGAAGAGGAGTGTCCATTGCATCTCAGGTAATGGCATTGAAGAGGAAAACATACATGCTAGCCAACCACAGTCCTTGGAATGGTTGATTATTAGGTATTAGCCAACTCCAGGATGTCATTTCCACCCTTGTCTACTGTTAAGCGTATCTTGTAGAGTGTTCTATTGTCTTCTCTGAGAAATTTGATTACTTTATTATTTGTCAAATCTAATTGAGTCTTAGGCCATTGTTGTGCTCATGATTTTAATGTCATGGGTGTATTTTGTTTTAGCTCTAGGGAGGATGCTTCTTGGATATCAAGGTTATCATAGGTCTTGTTAGTAGGTCTGCTTTATTTCTTTAGTATTGCACCAAATTCCAGTGTGTGCTTTGTTTTCTTACAAGAGAAGTCTGATAGTGTGACAGTTTCATTATGTATTCCCTCCGCAAAATGTTCCCTTTCCCATATACCAAACGCTATTCCTCATTGGAATTGAGACTAAGGGCCAGACCTGGGAATAATTAGAATTCTCTTTCCTTTGGGGACATAGCCAGATACCACCTTTTTGTTCACACTCAAGAGAGAGAAGTAAAGTTCCACTGAGACTCATTTTGGAGGATTGCCCACCTTTGTCCAGTGGGCATTATGCGTCCATCCTCTTCAATTTTCCCTAGCCCAGTTCATTGTAAATAGGATACTTTGTTGAGTTATTTAACCTAGGAACCTGGGCAGTTAGAGTACAGTGACTCATGTTGCATTTATTAGTTATTATTTTCCAGATGAAAGCCCTGTGTTTTTCCAGGTCTGTGAACTTGGTTCAAAAATTTTGCATTCCTGGGTAGGACATTAGAGTGTGGGGAGGGTGGGTGCTAGAGTAGTTTTAAAAAAAAGTCATCTGGAAGCACAACAGAAGCACAACAG